CGGCCATGCGGGCAAACTCCACTTCTTGCAGAGGCAAATGCGTGAGTTTCAATTGAACTGCATCGGCGTTCAGGAAGCAAGGACAGAGCAAGGGGTAGCATGCAGTGGCAACATCTTGCGTTTGTGCTCCGGTCACCAGCAACATCATCTTGGAGTTGAACTCTGGATTGACTTGGACTTGCCGATAGGCTTCGACACCAAAAAGAAGCCTTACAAGCTGCAGAGATCTGACATACAAGTGGTACATGTTGATCCCAGAAGACTCCTGGCACGTGTTGAACATGCCGCATGGACAGCATGGATTGGGGTCTTGCATGCACCACACAGTGGACACACTCAACAAGCAAGGGATGAGTGGTGGCAGGAGACGCAAACTCTACTGGATCAATACAAAAACAATGATCCTCTCTTCATCCTCATGGATGCCAATGCTCCACCAGGAGAAGCTGATGGACATGCAGTGCTGCGACATGGTTTTGCAACAACTCAAAGCACAAAATACATGCGTGACTTTCTTGCCACCAATCATTTGTGTTTGCCAGCTACGAGCAACTGTCATGCAGGAGATCAGGGTACATGGCTTGATCTACGAGGTGAACGCCTTCACTGCATTGATCATGTTGCGATACCAGAAGATTGGCTACATTGTGCAACGCACTCGCAAGTCCTTGAAGAATTTGATCTTGCGACATCTCAAGACGACCATCGACTTGTAGCATTACAATTGCAATGGCACGATCTTGTTGAAATTGTCAAGTTCCAGAGGAAGGCCAGAAGAGTTGTGCAGATTGATTACAAAAGAGCGGACATTACGCACATGATCGAGAATTACCAGCCTGCATCATGGAGCGCTGACATTGAACAGCACACAGAGACTTTCAATCAGCACCTTCTTCTTGCAATGCAGCTAGGTGAACAATCTCATGATGCCCAAATCAAGAAGCACTACATTGATGAGGAGGCCTGGAACACTCGCAAGCTCAAACTGAAACATCGAGCCACATTGAAGGCATTGAGAACGCGTATTGCATGTGACATCCTTCGCAGATGCTTTGGTGCCTGGCGTGACAGAAATCCCAATCTTCTCATTGAAGGGACCTGTTACACGGCCACGTTACATTGCTGGAATGTCAAACATTGGATTGCATTTCGACGTGCTGCCAAGAAGTTGAAACAACAACTATGCACTGCCAAGCAAGCCAAGCTGCAATGCGTTCTTGATGAAATGAGTGCTGACACAGCCGCCTCAGTCATCCTCCGACAGCTGCGCAGTTTCACAGGGCCTACAAATCCGAAGAAACTCAAGCAAAAGACTCTCCCACTGGTGCAAGACGCTGATGGCAATGTGTGTGCCCACCCAGCGGAAGCACTGGGAGTATGGATTGATTTCTTCATGAAGATGGAAGGAGGCCACAGAACGTCATTGCCGCAGCTCAGAACTGAATGGATTGATGAACTGCGTCATTTTGCGAACTCTGAGATCCACATCGACATCAGTGAGATGCCAACATTGACAGATCTTGAAATTTCTTACCGAAGAGTGCCATGTGGACGAGCACAGGGACCTGACGGCATCCCAGGGGCTCTATGCCACTACCAGCCGGCGCCTATCGCCAAAGCCAGCTATTCACAGCTGGCCAAGCTGGTTTGCCACGGCCAGGAGTTCCTCTGGCACAAAGGGGGCCAATTGACCCCAGCCTACAAAGGCAAGGGGCTGACGTCCAGCTGCACTTCATACCGCTCTTTATTGGTATCGAGCAATATTGGCAAAGCACTGCACAGGACCATCCGCCAATCTTCTGCAGACTTATATGAAGCCTTCCTACATGCTCAACAAGTCGGAGGCAGAAGGAAAATTCCAGTGCAACTGGCGCTACATCAAGTACGCGCACACATGCGAAGAGCGGCTGGTGGAGGACGTTCAGCCGGAGTGTTTGTTAGACTTGACCGAAGCATTCTACCGCATCATGCGGGAGATCACGATCGGTGGCACTCCGACAGACGCATTGATTGCTCATGTGATGCACAGACTGGACTTGCCGTCTTCGGCAATGCATGACATCCTTGCCTTGTTGAACGAGCCGTCAGCTATTCAGCAAGCAGGTCTGAGCGAGACAGCCAGGCGCTGCATCCAATCAATCCACACTGGAACGTTTTTCTGGCTTGCGGGCCAGCATGACGCTGCCAAGACAAGCATGGGAACGGGGCCTGGTGATTGTTTTGCTGACATAGTTTTTGGCTACGCTTGGGGCATTGTCTTAAAGAAACTGGAAGCTTTCATGGTGGAGCACAACCTTGTAGACAAGCTCCCAGCAGCCAATTGCCCGAATCTCTTCGACACCGAGCTCTTTGACGCCCAGTGCACTCCATCTGACTATGTCTTCATCGGTCCTACTTGGATGGACGATTTAGCGTTATGCGTGGATGGTGGAAGTCCTCAACAGCTTGAAAGCAGAATGGGAAGTGTGGCAAGCTTTCTGTTGGATCTTTGCAAGCAGCACTTGATGACACCGAATTTGGCTCGGGGGAAGACCGAACTCCTCATGGTATTCAGAGGAGCTGGCTCCCGTCGTTTTACCACCAAACACTATGGACAGGACAAGCCAGCGACTTTTCCCGTCATATGCGATACAGGAGTGCATCACATCCAGATTGTGAAAAAGTACCGACATCTTGGAGGTTGGTTGCATCACAAGCCTGACCAACGTGCCGAACTCAAGCAGAAGAGTGCACTGGCTCATGAGACGTTTAGCCGCCACCGCAAGGTTCTCTTTGCCAACCAGCGTTTGCCCATTGCCAAACGAGCTGAGCTGTTTTCAACATTGGTTCTGACGAAAATGCTATATATGGAGCAGACTCATGGACCTTAGCTACAGCAAGTGACAAGGCGAAACTGCACGCGGTGATCATGCGACTATACAAAAGACTTATTTGCTGGAAGCCAGACATGAACATGTGTGATGAGATGATTATCCTTCAGACAGGGCTACCTAGCCCAACTGAGCTTCTCCGCAGGGCACGATTGCGATATCTTTCGGTCCTCCTCAATTGCGACATGCCATTGATCTGGAGTCTACTCAATGAGGACTTCGAGTGGAAAAGATTGCTTGAGGATGATTTGAATTGGATGTGGATGCAATTACGCCACAGTTCAAGTCTACCAGAGCCGAAGGGACACATGGGGCATTGGATTCTCCCCATTCAAGACCACAAATCCTATTGGAAACGCCTTGTGAATCGAGCCTGCTCACATGCGATACTGCAACGGAAAAAGGAGATTGAGGTTTGTGAGCTTCATCGAAGACTTTTTGAACGTGCAGTGCAATGTTTTGGTTTTCCTGAACCACCTCACATTGATGTGGCAGGCACTTGTGCGAGAGAAGATGAAGAGAAGTATGGATGCCTTACTTGCCGCATAGCATGTGCATCAAAAGCGGGAGAAGGCGCCCACATGTTCCGAAAGCACAATATAGTCGCAACATGCCGACAGTGGTATGATGAGCCATCTTGCCCTTCTTGCCTCAAATTCTTTCACACCATGGCAAAAATGAAAGCACACCTCTATTATTCCAAAGTTTGTAGACAACGTTTGCTCAGCAGGAACATGCGTTGCAAGAGCATGCCTGGAACAGGGTCAGATGTGGATCGTTCGCGCGAAGAAGCGCATGACTTCCTGCTTCCACCACTGAAGGGAGAAGGACCGCAACTTCCACCGGCGCATCCGAGAGAAGAGATTTGCATTGATGATGCTTTACATCTCCATCTCGTTGAAGCAGTAGATGCGAGAATGACGTTTTCGTAACTCGAGGCCTCATTAGGTGAGTATGTTGCGACCCATCCTATTTCATGGTCCATGTGGAAGGCAACATTGCGCTTCTTTGTGGACATGTTTGAAGAGGAGGATGCAGACTTCTTTCAGTATGACATTGCGGAGTTCAAAGCGTTCTTTGAGCAGTTTATGCGCACAACAGCATGGCCTTTCCTTCAGTATCAGAGGCGACATGATGAAGTTCAACAACAGAGAACGATTGCGGCCTGCCATGACCAATGTAGTTGGTTTTTGGAGCACACTGGCGACTTCTCTGTCGATGTTCCACGAACGTTTGGGCGACATCGATACGTCCTACACGCTTTCAGTGGAAGACGCGGAGTTGGTGACTTACAGTTTTTCCTTGAGAGAATTGCTGAAGGAGACCAACCCTATGTTCTTCACATCATTTCCCTTGATATCATCATCGACCAGACATGGGGCAATGTTGCGAATGCAGAGACAAGACGCTTCTGGTTGGAAGCCATTAGGTCCCGATGGATCATTGCATTCATCGGTGGACCGCCTTGCGAGACCTGGTCGAGAGTTCGTGCGGTCAACAACAGTCCAACAGGTTCGCGTGCACCTCGTGTGATCTGCGATTGCGAACACCTCTGGGGTTACGAGAGCGTTGGGCTCACTGAGCTCCAACAGCTCCTTGTTGGAAATACACTGTTGGGGTTTTCTATGGAAGCCATGACCGAGATCGCGGGTGTCGAGGGCATGGGCATCCTCGAACATCCAGCTGAGCCAGATGACCTTCCGTCCGCGGCCTCCATTTGGAGACTTCCGCTGATGCAATGGATGCTGGGCCTACCAGGTGCGACGAGGTTGCGGTTCTCCCAGGGCCTCATGGGCGCACCATCACCCAAACCAACGGGCGATTTTACAGGGCGTTGATCAAAGGACAATCGACCCTTTTGCACAGGAACCGTCTCCCGATTTCATGGCAAAGTGCCGTCCAATGGAATGCACAGAGTTTGGATGTGCCATTGGCCGTGATTTTGCGGGATGACCGGAAGAACAGAATTTAGACTTGCGCAGCCGCGGCGAGAGCCTCTTTGTGCGGGAGCCTAAAAAAAAAATATATATTGACGTATATATATATATATTGACACATTAGGAAACCCCTGCAGCAGCAAGTCTTGGGAATTTCACCAGGCTTTTCATGACAGTCTGACAGTCTGTCAAGGTCTGCAGCATGGCGCATATGTGAACATCACAGGGTACCGGGAGACGGACTCTACACATGCTGAAGAACTCAAGGTGGGAAGATGTTGGAGAAATGCTGTTTTTTTGGAAAAAATGTGCCCTGAAAAGCCGTTCCGAACGCCTGCAGTCACGACATATTTCAGTCAGTGAACTTTCAAGTTTCAGATGGGTTGCTACTGCAGATGGAATTCAAGAATGACACTTGATATATCTTAAGATATAATTCGATCTCATTTGATTATTTGATACCCTGGGGCTAACATAGATGTGGAGCATCGCCATTAATAGGTAATTCATGCATGGGCCATTTTCCACATCTATGATCTATGTGAGTTTACCCTAGGTATCATTTGATCGATGATCAAAGGAATGGCATCTCCCATCTCGCTTAGGCGGGGATGAAAGATCAAGCCCTGGCGACCGGCTTAGCTTCTGCCTGGCAGCTCAGTTGGCGAAGCGCCGACAATGTCGACCCTGGATCAATAAACCCCTCGGCTGTTTAATTTGGAGGTACAGTATGTACAATTTTAGTAGAAACTGATGTATGTGGGAGACTTGGGTTGTCATGAAAGATGATCCTGCTATAACTTCTATAGAGGTTTTGGTTGATTTTCTATGATTTTCTTCTCAGAGATTGTTGGAGACGGGTTTTCGTCAGGGATGGCAACTAACTAACCAATTGTTCAGTCTTGTGACAAGATGTCCGTGAGTTTCCGATACGCAGTGACAGCGTGAGGCAAAAAAAGATCAGCGAGGAGTGTTTGTAGCGTGAGGGGCCTGGATGTCGCAGAAGAAGTGTCTGAGTCAGCTACTTGCAGACTTGCTGAAGACCTGTGTCACAGGTGTTCAAACATGTTCAGTATCCAACAGGTACCCAACAGGTATCCAACAGGTCACCGGTGGCTTGGGTTGTTTCATGTTAGGTCCTTGTGGCAAATCCTTGGTGATTTAGCTCAGCGCATCCAGGCAAATGCTGGAATACGAAAGAGACGCCGGAGAGCTGGGTGGACGCAGGTGGGGTCCAATTAACCGGCGACAGGATGCACGACAGTTGCTGAACCAATTGCTGAACCAATCGTCAGGCTGACAGCCAGATGCTTAGGCTGAGAGCCACTGTTCAGGTTGAGTTATGTCACTTATGTTTTGTTTCTGATGCACGTTGGAATCATGGAATTATAGTGTTCGAAGGCAATGCCAATGGGATACCGCCATCCAAACGCTGACTCGTTGTGGACTCAGGGTAATGCTGCTTCGCAGAACACAGCAGTGGTGGTTCTGTATGAGCCATGCCGGGTCCTCAAGCTCGCCTTAAACTCATCCGCAAAAATGTGTCAGTCTTTCAAATGTTCCATAGCTGGAGATGAAAGTTGTTAATTAATTATTTGTTAACATGTGTCAACATTGCTTCCGAAGGATTCCTAGCATACTGACTGTATTGATTTAATTCCGAATCGGTTTTGCAAGCCAAGTTGTTGCATTCGCATTTCTGTTTCTGTCATGTCAACTCTAGTACTCTAGTTGAAGAATGTTCAAGACATCCTATAAGATCTAAAAAACAAATGTTCTTGAAGGATCATAGACTCTACGGTTGCTTGCAAGTAGCTTCAATGAATGTTCATTTTCCATCATCTTCCATCTACGTTGGAACCTGCATTGAGGTGGAAATAGCCTGCAGGAGGACATCACCAAGGACCGTTTGGAGAGTGCGTGAACTGCTGAGGGCCAGTTCAGACAGCTTAGCTAGACTATCATTTGACAATCAAACATGGCTGGAAAATGCCCTATAAATGGAGGTTAGTTTTATCGTTTATAGCTGGGAAAATCATCTATCAATGATGGATTTTCCATTGCCATGTTTTATTGCTGGAGCGTGCATCATGAAATGGAAGAGCTTTACACATCTGAGCGGCCAGAGTGCCAGAGTTATTTCGGACAGCAATTTCCCGAAAATTAAGCAGTTGATTCATTTCTGCGGCGTAATTTCCCATTTCTGTGGGTGAAACATCGTGAAACCATTGATTCTGATATATTCTGATTGGCAATAGTAGAGGTCACTGGCGTGTTGTTTCAAACGTTGCCCCTGGAGAAATGTTGATTTTACCACCAAAATGGATCAAAATGCGGATATAGAACGAACATAGGCACTTGGCTTATATTGTATGTCCTATCCCTAGACGTGGGATGATAATCCCAAAGACATGAGGTTCTTTTCCAGCGGCGCTGGCTCATTTCAGCAGGCCGTCAGGGTTGTGGATGATTTGTTGGTTGTCCAAGTCAGTAATGTCACCAGAAATGGGTGGTATAAAACCTCCATTCGAATGGTATTTCTGAAATTTTTCTGGGTGTCCCACATTAGAATTCTGTTTTCAACAGTTAGTGTTGTGATATAAGTGATGAGCTCAGCTCGACGCTACGAGCCCAGGTCATTGGAGTTTGTTCGCGAGGCCTGGTGGGATCGAACGAGTTCCCAAAAATCGGCCCATCGAAGCACCGTAGTTAGTTACGCGTATTTTTCACCGTGCACAAACGAAGATGGGAAAAACATGGGGAAAAAACAACAGCAAATTTACCTTTATTTCAATATGTGTCAATATTTATCACCAGTTCATCACTGTTTGCTGTGGGAACCGGGCATGGTTTTTTTTCGGTGCCAGGCACAGTGAGCTTTACAGGCTCTGTGGTTGGACCCATCACTGGATGCCCGGATTCCAATGACGCTTGGGCCACGTACCAAGCAATCCAGGCCACGTCCTGCATCAGTCGGTCAGTCTTGGCACACCATTGGATGGCCACATCTCAAAACTGGTGAGTGGTTTGGAACCATGGAATTTTATGACTTTCCATATTGGGAATTTCATCATCCCAACTGACGAAGTCCATCATTTTTCAGAGGCCTAGGTATACCACTAACCGGTAAAAACAAGAGACAATCATTGAAATCACTAGACTTACCCTCTGGTTATGTCAAAATAGCTATTGAAAATGGCCATTTTTAATGGGAAAATCCATCTATAAATGGGTCATTTTCAATAGCTATTTTGACATAACCAGAGGGTAGACAGCAACGCAACTGGTGCGGATTTTGCCTGTCGCCAGTCCCAGCTCCGTGGCACAGATGAATGGGTCGCTTGGATCATCTTGGCGCTTGGGAAGACCTTTTTTTTAGAAAGCCGCGAAAAAAATGTGTGACACAGAAAACGATGTAATAATATGTAATAATATTATCTAATTATATAATATTAATTAATATATACTAATAATAACGATAATAATGATAATAATAATGATAATAATAATAATGATAATAAAAAATAATATTGGTTTTACCTGCCTTGTTTGCATAGATCATCCACATCCCAGTAGCTGTAGCAGTGTGATCAAAACGCGCTAAGGACCAGAACTACTTCAAAGTGATGATCCTTCCATCCTCATGGCTCTCAGCTATTGGCCTGGGCACAGTGGGTGGAAGCCCCTTGTCCCAATAGCTGTTGGTTGATGCCGCAACACAGGAGATCCTGTCTTTCAGGGAAGAGTTGTGTGTCAACATGGTGACATGCTTTTATGATGTTTGAACTTGGGTTTTTCTGGCAAGATGCTTTGCTGGATTTTTCAACCCAGCATGTCACGTGTGCTTGTTTCTTTTACAGACATCAAGAGGCCTATGGTAGGTTCCATGCGCGAAGGTTCTTCCAAAAAAATGATGTTGAGTGCAAAGAGGCATTCCTTGGACTCCTACAAATCATTCCATGTTTGCTAAGCTGCTAGACTTTATGCCCATGTACCGTTCACATATACATGCTTAATGCTTACATGTACTTACTTGTTCCTGCATGTTTACATTTATGGATATGCTTTATTTCAAACCTTAGTCTCTTAAATTTGGATTCCTGTTGATTTCATATGTCCAGGGAAAGAACTATGGAAAGAACTATGTAGCAATCCATGGAAATAAGGGGTGTTTCCACTAAAAATGTCACCCAATGAAGAAACCCACCACTTTGAAAGAAAAACGCATTGCTCCAAGTTCTTGGACAAAAAACCTTTCAACATCAAGTTAGATGTTACATACAAACTTCGTATTTGAAAATATTGGTCCGTAAGTTGGAAAGTATACAACAATATACAACATCTGTGTAATTCGGGGCCCCATATTTCTTCAAAAAGGAGAACACCAAAGAATGCATGTGCGCAAGCTCCAACTAGAAAAAACAACTCATATAAACAATATTACGATGTCACCCTATATAGTGCATTCATGAGTGTATGTATGGCTGTGTGCTCATGTGCATGGATGAACTGCAAATGCAAATCCACAGGTTTTAAGTATTGTTTTCGGTGCTGCGAAGACCACGGTAAAACTTAGGTAAAACATGGTGAAACAAATTTATCAACTGCAAACGGAATGCTAATGAATTTAATTTGTGTTCCCCTACGTATTTGTAGCAGATCAAAGATGTGTTACTGTATTTCTGTCGCTACGTTGTTGTGCATTGGTCCGTAGCAGTGTTGCGGTAACAGATTACAATCATTATAAATATGTCATTTTATCCAAATACAACGCTTAAACTTTATTGTTGCGTTTTATACAAACAAACCCCGTCGATATACTTCCAAACTTTTAAACATACACGTATATAATTCATCTAAAACTCAAACAGTCTTAAATAAGTCATAAATACAAAGCAAGTAAAGTAAAGCAAACATCAAAAATATACTTATAAAGTTAAACAGTTGAAGTCAAATCGAGAAGTAAAGTCAAAGTTATGTTACAAGTTAAAGGTTCTAAGTTTTAGTTATAAGTTGTAAGTTCAAAGTTAAAAGGTTACAAAGTTATAAGTTACACAGTTTTTAGTGTCAAGTCATAACTAGAAGCTCTAAGTTGTAAGTTAACAGTTATAACAATGTGTTTAAATTTTAAAACAGTTCCTTAACCTTATAAATTGATTTATTGAAGTTTGATAGTCAAGAGTTATGGATTATGAGTTGTATTTTACAAAGTAGCTATAAGCTACAAGTGTGTATATTTGGTTTTATCAAGTTATATATATACAAGTATAAAAGTAAGTTAACATATAAGCCATTATTTGGGGTTTGCAGAACGGTTCGGAACGGTTCCGGAGATTTCCCCAGAACGGTTCGGAACGGTTCCGGATACTTCCAAAACCTCAGAACTATTTAGAACTATTTAGAACGGTTCCGGAACGGTTCCGGATTCAAAGCTTATAGACCCCAGAACGGTTCGGAACGGTTCCGGAGACCTCCATATAATAGCATATTTTAACTTGTATAATAGCATATTTTGACTATATAATTATTTAACTTTAACACATAGGATTTTTAAAAAATAAACAAATACTAGTACCATAAGCAATGATGATTCGACACAAGCGATACTTTCAAACGGATACATTTCAATACAAACTACACAGTTGTATGATTTTGTTTGAAAAGATTCCACAGAACAGCTTTCAAGACAAGTAAGATTCTGAAAGGGGCCACGCCTTCCATGAACAAACAGCTGAGAAACTTCCAGCCTTTTGTAGTCTACATCCAGTTTCACCTTCTCCCTTGTGCTCAGCATGCCTTTGCACTGCCTGTTCAAAGACTTAGGCGGAGAAGTTGCCTTCCCTTTGTCGTTTTTCTGACTCCTTTCTCTTGTAGCCTTGGCCCTTGGAGCCACAGGGCGGCTCTTTGGAAGGTTTTGAAAATGCGAAACAGGAGGAACTGCTCTTGACCGTTTTTTGGGGGGGTTTGGAAGCTGTGGAGAAATATCTCCGTGCAAAGTTGAGGTCTGCAGAACCGTTCCGAACCGTTCTGGAGGTCTGCAGAACCGTTCCGAACCGTTCTGGAGACCTCTGCGCTAAGAAAATTGTCACGTAAATTGGTTCTCTGTGCCAAGAATCCCGGGAATAGGAAGGCACGGACAAGGTTGAGCCATTCCGGATGCATTAGTCCCAACCTGAAAGTAACCCATCATCACCCTCAAGAACCCCACCGCTAGCGCTATATATATATATATATTCTGAAAAGTATCAAATCATGGTCCAAGAAATTATCGGCAGCTATATACAATATAGTTTGTTTCTTGTATGGGTAGTAGCACGGTAGTAGCAACAGTCTTGCCAGAGTGACAAAATACCAACAATATAGCCTGGATGTTGCACTGCTACCGCTACTGCATATTTTTGATCCAGTCCAGAACTGGTGGGGAAAAAGACAGCAATGGGAATGCAGCCAACAACCAGCATTGCCTTTGTTTTTTTTTGAAAAGGGAAGTCACATAATCCCAGCAGCCTGAACACATTGCAGAAGCCAGCTCAGCGCGCCCAAACACACATGGACTGCCTTCCAAATAATTGAAATTACATATTGATAGAATTCGACTTCAGCGCCTGTTCCTTCCACCCAAGTATTTCTCCAATTGCGCTTAAACCGCCCGAATCTTCCCTCAAACAAATGCAGCATCATAAATTAAACCCACTATCTGTAAGCGGGTTGTGTATTTATTCAAGGTTTCAAGTATTTGGGGCAAGGTTGTTAAGTAATCAAAGCTGAATTTAGCCCAGTCTCACACTAGAAAATCAATTAACTGCAAATAGAATTCCACTTCGGCGTTTGTTTCTGTCGCCTGAGTATGTCTCCCATCTTGAAGAAAGAGCAAACCATACTTTCACCCAAATGCCGGCCCCAGACTAGAATTTGGAATGCATAATCTACTTAAGCGCAAATAGAATTCTACTTAGGCGTCGGTTTGTGACGCCTAAGCAAAATTCTATTTGCGCCTAAGTAGATTATCGATTATGTCTTCCAACAGCCCCAGACTAGATTTCTATTTGCGCCTAAGTAGATTATGACTATGAATTATGTCTTCCAACAGCCCCAGACTAGAATTTGGAAGACATGGTCTAATTAGGCGCAAATAGAATTCTACTTAGGCGAAGTGACGCCTAAGTAGAATTTTATTTGCACCTAAGATTACCTAAGTAGTCTTCAAAAGAAAGACCGAAACATAAGTTCACCCCAATCTCACAATCAGAATTTTATGTCTATAGACTGTGGATCAGATAGGTATAAAGTATCCATGGCAAGTTTTTGTTTTTAGCAAAACTGAATTCATCACCAGTCCACAATACAAATTCAATTTAGGTCAAGTACTTCACGACTTTGAGTGCAAACCCAGATTGATGAATCTGGATGTGTCCTCGCTGTGTGCATTGTTTTGTTTCTTTACTTCTTCAAAAGCTTGCTAATTTTCCCTTGGCATTGTTTCTAACATCACCTTCTATAAGATATCCTTATTGCCCTGGTTTCTTCCATAGTCCCTTCCATAGTTCCCTCCATGGTCCACAAGGCCCACAGGTTAAGAGGCTAAAGTTTGAAATAAGATATGCTCCATATAATTATATATATATGTGTGTGTAATATGTGCAGTATTCTATTCACATAAATATGGACAAAATCACAGGCAGTCACAATATGCGGAGGGCGAGTGAGAGAGATTTGCATCGATTTGCCAAGGCCTTAGCTGGTACCGAGACACCTATGTGAAGCACCCTGCAATGTGTCCCGGGCCGGATGTTGGTGGTCTCTCTCCATCAGAGTTCGTGGCCTTAACTTTGAACATTTGATATTTGATGAATGTTGATGATAGTGTTGTTCGCAAAAACTTTGGCCATGGTTCGAATAGGCGTTATCCATCTTTTGTGAATTTGCTGATGGATTTGCTGATGGATGACTGTCGATGGCTCCGGCTTCGGCTTGAGTGCCAGGTTTCTGCACGAGATCGGACACAATTGGAAACTTCACCATGCAGGAGGAGCTTTTGTTAGCCAGGACGGGCCGATGGGTCTTGCATGGTCTTGCCCTGAAAATAGATGGAAGATATACCGGTATACCATCAAATGACACCATTTAAGATGGGGTACCCTATTTTCAGACAAACCCATTTATATCATCTCATAGTAAATCCGACAATCATTTCAGCAGGGAAACAAGATCACTCAGCATTCATGGGAGGCTTGTCCCAACACGTTCGCTTTTTTGGCTTGGATGGCTGAGAAGCGAACTGGCCGGAAGTGCTATATGTGTAGATCCTCCTGTGACATCCTGCCAAAAAGTTGGACACCTGGAAATTAGAAGGGGAGGATTAACAATTATAACATGTTTGTTTATTAAATCTCATCTATCCCAAAATTGCGGAATAGTCTGAATTAATTATAACACCCATCGTGGATCCCTTGTCTATTTTTTTGAGGAGTTATGTAATTATATAATTCAAATTCCTGTTGCAGGAATATTCTGACACCAGCTCTGCTATGGGATATTGCTGTTCAACCAGATGTCTCTTGGACACAACTCGTTTTTTTTCCCGGACAATGGCTCGAAAACCTCCTTGTAAACGGTGAGTTGGTGGGGTAAACTTGGTGGAACATGCCCCAAGTGTATCCAAGGGTGGGACGTCGGCACCAATGTCAATGACCGACTTGGCCCTGTATTTAACGCGCGGAATTACTAATCCGCAGTTGACATTTAAAGTAAAGCAGCGATTTTATTTTAATTAATGTTTTTGGATGTCTCTGGTATTTGTTGATTTTCTTATCTTGGTCTTCAACTTCATCTAAGGACCAACCGACCAAAGCCCCAACAAACACCTACTGAGGCTACAACTTCCTGCATTCCTGGCAGTTGGGCTTTGCGCACTTTGCGGAGGTTTCGTGGTCAGCCAGGGAAGCTCACAAAGATAGCAATTTGACCCACCAAATTCACAAATTCGGTAGCAAATTTCTGTGTTTGATTATCCAATGTCCTGCATATATAATTGATTAATTGGGACACAAGGAAATCTTCCATCCATCCTCAGTTGCAGTGACAAGCATTGACAAGCTAATATCCTGTTTTTTGTTTGCAAATCAGCATGAAGAGTGAAACCGGAGCATTTCTGACGTATTCACCTGCACTCCAGGACGAACTGTCCCTGACGGATGTCGCCACAAAGTCCTCATCGACAGCTTTGACACTTAAAGCCCTAGGCACGGCTGCGTCAACATATTTGACCTTGGGATGCTGTCGTGGCAAATGGAGAACAGCGCGCCACCAATGTGCAAAATCCATCAAAATCCAAGTTGAAGTGTTTTCAGCAGACATGACAAACACATTGTTCGGCTCTACATTAGGGAAGAAGCAGTTTGCCCAAACATCATGCCCTCATATGCCCTCCATACAGAATCAGATCCTTTCTCCTTACCCCCGTGTCAGGTACTGATACGGAGAGTGGCGTGGGAGACCCAGCCGAGCTTCTGCAGCTGGAGGTGGGCTGGAAATGTCTTGGAATGAGGTGAAGATTCACATCGACTCATCGTCCTCTGGCAGAAGGCAAGAACCAGTTTGGAGAATCAGAATAATGCAGATTAAGACAGATAGATAGGTAGATAGATATACATATATCATATATCATATATATATATATACACACGTTGATATATTAGCTATTTGAGATAAAGCACTTAATCCATGCAGAATGGATGATATATCTAGTCTCTAATTATTTAGATAGATGTAGATAGATCAAACAAAGGAATAGTAGTCTTACATACATATATACATAATATATATATACATATGATAAATGAATAGCAATGTGAGGCAAGAAACGACAAGTATCCAAAGTCAGTCAATTTTACACAGATCTCCAAAGTCATTGTGAATATTGTGAGCATTGCCACAGGTTATCTGTGCCCGCCTTCTTGGTCTTATCCTGGCGAGCAAAGAGAGGTACAGATGAATACCTTCAAGGCAGGATGCTATGGCATCAGATTGAGTCACTAAAGACCAAGGATGGTGGGGCTGCCAGGCACTTCATATGGAGACAAAGTGCAAGTTCATCACTGGGACGGTGATAGCAGGACCATTTTTCATGAAAGCTCCGACTTTTTTGCTGATTTTTGCGACCTTGAGAAACAGCCAGATGCATCCCTGGCCGTTGTGTGCAAAGGACTGATGCTAGCATCACACATTTGCTTCACAACGTCGACAAGGCAGAAACAAGTCGGTTTGATGCTGCTCAAAAGGGTGATGCTTTTATTTGCAGATTCAGCTGCCCCGCCGACAAAATTTTGTGCACATCGACTGAGCTACATACCCTCCCCATCCTCAGTGACACGATGTTCTAGCCTTCGCAACCTGTCACACCCAATGGGATTTCAGTGGCTTCTTCCCTATCAGGGGTCCACCATTCTCATCAAAGACACAGATCGGCCCTGCACCTGGCAGATGGTTTCTTGATGTTTCTTGGGTGCCAAGATCGAAAAGAGCGGTCCCTGTATACGGTCTAAGCGGTCTAAGGTCGGGGGAGAGGATCTTGACCGACCTCAAAATGACTGTCACGACCTTAAAACAGAGTCCAGATGAGTTCAGAATTCCTATGCTTTAAAAAGAGAGTGCAGAAAAATCCTCGCATGCCGCAACCGTGTTGAAACTATTTTGGGATGATTCCAAGGTAAAGGGGGTTAAATCCCAAACCACCGATACCGTGGATATTTTGCTGCTTGTTTGCACTATAGCCAAGCCGACGCAGTTCTTGGAAAAACTGGGGTCATTTGTTTCTTGTATTTTCTTGTGCTGCAAAAAGAAAACAACTGAGGTAACTGAGGGTTTGCTGTGGAATTGCTTCCAATTTATATATTTCATTTTTTTCGAAGATCATGATCTAAGATGTGATGTTATGTGATGTTAGATGTTGGGATATCTTGGGTACAGACATGACTGTCACATTGCCGAAATCAATCCAAGGCTTTGCAAGAGACTAAGCACAGAAAGTGACCTGGCAAGACACTGGCAGAAATCACGAAAGGTAGCTCCAGTGGTGCTACCTTGAGTTTTGCTTTACGAAGTAAAGGGGAGACTGGCCAGCCCAGTTACCTGATTATTCATGATTATTCAGGAGGAGTTGCTGTTCATTTAGACAACCCCCCTCCCACCCCGTCACAAACCCTAAAATCAAACCCAAAACACTGTAATTTACATTGGTTTTGTGACTTTTGCTTGCAACATGCCGAAAACTGCGCAAATACCAGAGTTTTGCTCGGTGCTGTCCAACAAACACTGTAAATACTGTGGATTTTGCTACCAGAAGCAAAAAACATTGTAACCGTGGTTTTGGGCTTCCGAGGCACAAACAACATCCGTATTTACGGTGTTTTTTTGCTCCGAGAGTCTCAAAAAAACGCGAAAGCACAACCAATTTGACGATTTTCGGCCACTACGAGACTGAGAAAAAGCTGCAGGGGCAACAACAACAACAACAACAACAACAACAGACAACAGACAACAGACAACAGACAACAGACAACAGACAACAGACAACAGACAACAGACAACAGACAACCGACAACCGACAACCGACAACCGACAACGGACAACGGACAACGGACAACGGACAACGGACAACGGACAACGGACAACGGACAACCGACAACCGACAACCGACAACAACCACAACCGACAACCGACAACAACAACAACAACAACAGTACCGTCGTTGTTGGCCTGTGAGGCTCAAAAAAACATGGAAATTTGCGGTGTTTTTTGTCCCGAAGGCTTTTTTTAAATTGGCTTAACACTGACAGCCAAAATGACCCCTTGTGGGGCCCTGCGCGCATCACCGACATCATCAACAACGTAACGAGAGCAAACATTTGAGTTTGGATTCTTTTGTTTCATTGTTTTCTGCGATTTTGCTGTGACGCATTTTGCACCAATACGCTTCTACAAACAGACGACGTTACGCACAGAAACCTTTACACAGAGCAGTTTTTATGCGCAGATACTCTTACACAGAGAGGATCCCCCTTGGAATTTCCTCTACAAAGTCGCAACAGTTAAGCTGGGGAAAATGGTGCGTTTTGCGTTTTAACTCCCTGCTCTGTCTAGGGGTACCTACCCAGTGTCAACGTTTGCAATTTTATAGAGGACCTTGGCGTCAGCGATTCTATACAGATTTCATGTTGAATACAGCACTGAGTACTAATCAGCTGAGAATCTTGGGGACAGAATGAAAAAGGGAAACGGATGGAAACAGAATGAAACAGAGTGACTTTCAAACATTTTTCACTACAGTAGTCTATAAAATCGAAGAGGTTGCCACTGAACACTTGGAGCAAGAGAGCTCTATAAACTTGGGGTCAGCTGTCAGATGAAGGAGTTGGGGCATTTGATTTTATAGAAAGCCAACTAACCCCCCCAACCTAAAAAAGGCTTTACGAGAGTGACTTGGCAGCAGCTATTCTATAGAAAATGACGCTCATAAACAACCTCAGTGTCAGCAATTCTATTGAGATTGTCAACTTGAACATACCTTGGGGTCTCTGATTCTATAGTATTTTCAGAAAGAGGGTTAACGTTTCCAGGTTTATCACTATAAAATTGCTCACACCAACACTTTTGCTTAATAATTCAAAGGGGGATCAGAGAGGTTTGTGCACAGATAAACTTTTACACGCAGAGGCCTTTGAGGTTTTTACGCAAAGAAGTTTTACACACCGAAAGTTTTTATATACACCGATGCTTTGCGCAAAGATGCATTTACACGCATAAATAAAGGCACACAGGCGCTTTTACACACAGAACTTTTTACACAGAGAAACCTTTGCACAGAACAACTTTTACACAAAGAAACTCTTACACAGGAAAACTGTGATGCAGAAAAATTGCCCACACAGGCTGCACAAAGAAGTTTTTACACCCCGAAACTCTTACGCGCAGAAACTTTACCCAGAGCAGCTTTTAGGCACAGAAACTTTTCCGCACAGAAGCATTTACGCACAGAAGTCTTTATGCCCAGCAGTTTTTACACAGACCTTTTTACCCACTGATCCCTTTACACAGAAAAACTTTTACACACAGAAGCTTCTGCACACAGCACGCTTTTACACACAGCCAACTTTTACACGGAGAGGCTTTGCTTCCCCTTCTTGATCACCTACCTTTCGCGTTCCCCATCTCAAGTTCATAAGTTCTTCAGAGCCGGGCCCCCTTTTTGATTACTCTAAATGAATGTTACGATCTTGGTAAGAAGTCTCTTGGCAAGACTCGTAAAGAGATCTCTCTGCAAGAAGTCTTTCCAGAGAAGAGGATGCTGAGCAGCGCGTAGATTTTGGTGTTTTGATGTGTTTTGCAAGCCTTTTTGATCGCGGTCTGCTAGTTATTTTTTTTTGTCCAATTTTATTTTAATCGTCATTTTTTGCATGTTGCTTATTTCAGCAGTGATGGACTCGTTCCCCATCAATTCCATTGGTAGCTGTTTAATGTTGGCTGCTTTTGCTCCGGCCCCGTTTTGTGGCTGTGTGGTTTTGTTTTCTGTTGGTTTTATTGTTTTGCGTGGGCAGATACGCATATCTGCCCTGGAGATGTGCATTCAACTGTACACATTGAGCCAATAAGGAGCAATATAAATGACACACGCCCATGCCTTCACACACACACACGTATAGATATATAATAAAAATATGCAAGCATACATTCATATCTGTTACGGGGCATCAATTGGGGACAGCCTGGCTTGCATGCCACTTGTCTCCTACCGCAGGTAGTTCCACCGCAGAGGCCGACTTGACTCCTTGCACCGAAGTTATTGTGGAAACCACGGCAACGACCAGTACCAAAACGACCACCACAGCTGACTCCACCACAGCTGACTCCACCACCCGAGGCTTGCTGACATGGGATTGCAGAGACCTGCCGAAGCTAAAATCACGGTAAAACATTTGTAAACCATGTCACCAGACAAGGAACTGAACTAGAGGAAAGGCATGGAAATGGCGCTATTCCATGCTATTTCTGCTTCCCTGCTATGCCCGGAGCAGGTATTTCATTTACTGCTACCACGTCTACCCCGGGCACTGGTACAACAACAACCTTGGAAAACCCTGGTGGTCCTTGGTTCCGCCCTTGGAGGGATAGCCTTATTTGGTACCTTTTTTGGGTTCGAACAAATTGGCAGTCCTAAATTCACTGGTTCATTCTGATTGTCCCCAACAAAATTTGGCAGTGAAATCTGTTGATGGAATAAATCCTGCACCAGTTGATATAGGTGGTTTATCCCATTATTTATAGGTTTTCAACCATCCTTTTGGTGGTGCAGGATTTCTTCCATCAACAGAATGCTCCCAAATCTGCCCCCCAGGCACCCAAAAAAACACCGCTGGAGCAGGTCGGCCTATTTCAGTGACGAAACGGGCTCCAAAGGTGTTGCACCTGGTACCGGCCTGGTGGGACTTGGCTGTTCTGGCGAGTTTTGTGGCTCCATCAGGCGCCTTCAGACTGCGGAAGTCTGGAACATGTCGCCCCAAATACATGGGAGTTATGGGATTATATATGATTATATGATATTATATGATGGTTTAATGGGATTATAATGATTATAATATATTGTAATAAGATTGTATGGGATGCAATGGGATTACTGTATATGGGAATATGTTTGGATAAAGTACAACAACCTCATTGACGTCACTGGAATGATGGTAAGTAAAGGGGTCCCCAAATAACCGCGCTTATGGTGGTTTCCCCAGTTCCAGCCATGTCTAATGAGTCTAATGCAAGGATTCTTCACTAGTAAAGAGAAACGACCATGGCCATTTCTGGTTGTTTGGTTTGGACTTCCAGGAGCACCAAGACAGGGTTTTCCCTCTGAACGTTGCATGATAAACCATTCTGGAGTCCACTCGAGGATTTGGAGAGGAACGATTTTGGCGGGATATGTATATCAATGTATATCATGCATTAGCATTATTATTGTTATTATTATTATATTTATACACATACATTTACCCACATACATATATGTATAACATTGTGTAACACATGTATAATATATATTATACATATGTATGTATGTATATATAAGTTGATTTCGTTTCATTTGAGGGCAATTCCATTTTATTCGAGTGCATGGAATGCAGGGGCAAAGGGTTAAAAACATCGGAGAAGATTTAGGCTCAAGCTGTGATGCAAAGGAAAAACTACTGGAGACAATTTGTTTCCTTCAACCTTCCTAAAAGGAAGACACCGGGTGATGGAGACAATGATGGTTTCTTGGGTCGCAAAACGTTTTGGAGATCTGTAAGTGGTGAACCAGGAGATGGGGTGGTTGCTGAGGAACCATCTGCCTCATCCAAGGGTGGGGAACATGTGACAATTGAGTTTTCCTTGGAGAGACTTCGAGAATTCAAAGCTCAGTGTTTGAATACGAGTTCTTTTCACAAGAAGACTGAACCTCGTTTGAAGCGACCAAATTACAACAATGCTCGGAGAAGGTTGCTATCAAAACCACGAACCCAAGTGAGGTAACTTGGTTGTAGGTCAAAGTCGGTTTTGAATAATGTTTTTTCCCCCAAAGGTTTGCGACAAAAAAAGTGAAAACATTGTTATATGTTATGAGTTTATGTCTTTTTCTTGGCAGGCAGTCCACAAATGGAGCCAGCCGTGAGAGACTTGACCGCTTACTTCTCATGGACAAGTGCAGATGCCATAGAACAGACTGTTTCAACCACTTCGTCGAAATTGAGAACCAACTCATGGCTTTCCTGGAGACATTTTGGTCTATGGAGAAACCAGCCCAAGATTCGTTTGACCTAGCCTTAGTTGTTATGATGTTAACAACATCATATAGGGTTGCTTTCAAAGAGTAAAAAGAAGTTTGTGAGGCCATCAAAAAAAACTATATACCCTTCAGTAGTCTGTGAACTGAGATCAAGCACACCATTGATAACGCTCCAAAAGGGAATCGCAGCTGGAAGCTATTGAGTCAAACGGTGTCCTACAAGTGTTTGGCGGCACTTTTGGGGATTCGTCAGGGTAGACTCCAACGGGCAGAAGAAGGGAAGGTAGATCGACGATACCAATGTTTTGGATCAGCACCTTGTTTAGACTGTGAAAAAGATTCATTTGTTTATAAGTTTGTTCACGGCAAAAGTAGGGGTTCCCAGACAGCAATAAGGTACACAAGAGACCACCAGTGAAATACAGAAAGCTGGACAAATATTTCTTGAAGCTCTACATTGAAGCAGCCGGCATGCTGCCTGACAGGTTCCCTGCTTTAATATTATCCTGATCCTGTCCTGCTGTAACTGCGCTGTTTTGATGTCCTGTATTCTAAGAAGGGTAAACTAACAATTTGGCAATGTGGTGGATCCTAGGTTCCAGCGGGGAGCTTTCAAACACGAGTCAGGGCAGAAGGACAAAAGCAAGCTGGAGGTTACCTTTACTTGTGGCAAACACCACGAGGAAGATGGTGACTTAGCACTGTATAGTCAACATCTGAACATCATACTAAATAAACCAATAAAATCTGCACCACACAGGTTTAAGGACTGTTGAACAGACTAATTAGACTGTTCAATCGTCGCCCAGGAGACAGTGAACTAGACGCGGATCAAGAGGACAGTGGAACTCTTTGGGACGCCCCTGCTGAAGGTATCGAAACAGACATGGAACTTCAAATGCATGTACTTGGCTTCAAAGGTCTTTGGTGCCAGACTAACTCTTAGTTGGTCAGCTGGTTGACACAAAATGCGTTTGGAAGACTGTTGTCAATGTTTCTTTAAACGTTGTCGTGCTAAGGATTATAGAAACAAACTGGGCGGAAAATCCATGCCAGCTTCCAACACGGTACCTTTCCCCTGGCAATTTGAAGCTACTCTATATCGCCATGGATGACTCGAAAATATCGAATCTTGATTGTGCGATTGGAAAGAGTTTGTGCAATGTGTATGTCAAATGAGTTTATCATCTCTATGTTGTGCTATTGAAAGCTTAGGTACTCTCATTTCGTCAGGAGATACAAGGCAAAGTGGGCGAATCTTCTTAGATTTGCAAACCCAAGTGGTTTTCCAACATGTGATGACTGCAGTGCCTTCAAAGCAGCATATGAAGACACTCTGGACACTTAACTGTTAACTTAACTGCGTTTTTAGAGAGAGAAAGAGAGAAAGAGAGAAAGAGAGAAAGAGAGAAAGAGAGAGAGAGAGAGAAAGAGAGAGAGAGAGAGGGGGAGGGGATGGACAAAAAAATGGTTTCACATTTTTCTTCTGTGCTTAGGACCCAGTCGACAAATTCGAAATAGCTCGGGGCTACAAGGGCCACCTTGACTCTGTGGCGTCAGACAGATGTCTTGAATCATTTTTCCAGGAGAGATGTGTGTTGATATATGGGTCAATAACTTCAGCTAAACAATAACTTCAGCTAACAAATTATAATCTTACTATACCTACCTCCTTCAGTGTAAAAGCAAATTGCCTCACACGGTCAGGAGTGCAACCCCTTGATCGATGATGACACCATCCTCGTCACAATGGATGCTTTTCTCTACTAGTCGTAGTGCTGTTTGGGCACACACTCTGGCAACATGTTGTTACTGTTGTTACACCACACATCTAGCTGAAGAATCTTACTTAGGATGGAATGGACCAATCGAAATGGGCTCTGCCCAGATTGCGTAAAGGAGTGATGACCAAGAGCTTCCAGAAACTTGAAAGACCAAGACTTAAAGTACAGGGGGTATGGGCGCACAACCGCACAACTTGTGTTTGACGTTAAATGTTGTTGAAGTCCGCCAAAGCAGTGATGCAACCATGGTAATTGAAGCGCTTGCCGACACCTTGGAAAGAGTTTACTCTATTTGCAGATCCAAAGATCGACCTGCACCGAAAAAGGTCATCATATGGGCTCCTAGATTGTGATTGGTAGGTGGTTTTTGTTCCATACTTTGACCCCTTCTATTCCTAAGGGTTGGTTTAGTTGGTCTTTACTACGCCCACCATGTCCAAGGCTGACAATTGCGTAAGAGAAAACAAAAACCAGTCATGCCTGAAGTTTCTCTCCTGGATACTGCGTCAAAAAGGCCTGGAGATGACTGCATTAGTTTTTCACAGAGTTGGCCATACACATGGCTCGTTAGGAGTTTTGGCGATGGGTTAACAAATTGTGCTTTTGCCCAAACAAAAGAATACAAACCAGGGAATAAAATAGTTTTTGCAATTGTCTATCCACAAGGTTAAGATTTACATGATGTTGCCCATCACTGAGATCAACTATATGGAGTACTATCCCGTTCAATGCGATGGGTAGATTGCCTGGCAGATCCACAGGACGTAGTTGAGAAACCTGGTTTGCATTCAAGTGACATCCCTATGAATGTGTTATCAAATTCTTTTACAAGATTCATGCTGTTCCCCTAGACAAAAACCCAAGGAAAGTGAACTACCTTTGTTCCAAGATCAACTTGCAAGCTTGGCTGGGGACGGCAGAAGTCTTTGTACAAGAGCTGAGAACAGCTAGACCATGGAAGGAGTGGCTACTAGTCTTTACTTAAGGTTAACCTTAGTCTCTGTTGGGGAGAAGGGTGATGTCTCCAATTCTCATCCAAGGTTCGAGAAACTTCCTGTGACGCTCAGTGGGGCATTGCGGGATGATTGCTCCGGTGCCCACAGTTTTGTGTTTTTGCGGCGGAAAGGCCCAATGACCAAAGTTATGTGTTAATTCTCTAATATATACATTATTATGGGTGATGTACCTCAGTGTTTGTTCTTAATTTCATTTTCCTAAAACAGACCCTGGGTAGATGTGCCTGGTTCGATGAAGATTCGAATGGCTGGTCCTGGCAAGAACCAGATTCTCGAGTCACCTCACGACGTGGTTTGCTGTGTTAAGAGGTTTGCAGCTGATCAACAGTTGTCTCAGGAGACATGGTTCCTAAAGCACCCAAGTACTCCATTACCAACTTGAGAGTTCAATGTTTTAAAGTTAAGAAATTCAGCCCTAACCAACCAAACTTAGTTTCAAACCATATTGCGCATCGTGCGTTCGCAGGACCCTGTTCTATGTCTGCCTGACCAATTTCTCCACTACTTGGCGGTGGTGCCTCAGGCTCCCAGGCCCTTGAAAAGGTTTGACACCGACAGGAGGCAAAAATTGTTGCAATTGGCACACCTTGTTTTGACCACCTCCTCTGATGAAAGTTCAGCGAGAACTGTAAAGTATTTGCTTTCTCTTTCTGAAGCTGCACCAGTACCGGACCAAGTCCCACCACTGGATTGGATATCAACTAGATGTCCTAGTGACTTTGATGGGTTGATCGATTTGAACCTAGGCCGAAGGGTCATAGGAAGAATCATTCCACAAATGGAGTTTTGCGCAAAGATTCGACGAACATAGTCTGAAAATACCTGACAGTGTTGATATGTGGGGTTTTGGGGGTTGTGTCTACTGAAAAGCCGCTGCAAAGTTGACATCAGTTTGTTTCCATGACCTATGAAAACCGACTTGGAGTTTCCAGAGGATCAGGTTAGAGTGACACTTAGATTTGGAAAATGGCCTCGAGTTTGGATGCGACGACAGAAAGGACCGTGTTTTAATTTGCTTCACTTTGTGGTTTCGAAATTTCCAAAGAATCTTGTTCTGTTTAGATGGGAACTATATAACTGTATGTATCTGTTTTGACACCGCAGGAAAAGACGAAGACTCGAAAAGCGTGGCACTGAATGTGGCAACCAGGACTTTAAATCGTACTTGTACTATCTTGCACTTGGGTTCATCCAACATGATGGTGAACTATTATCAAAACACCCTGTATCAGTTTGCTTAGACGATGGCAACATCTTGATAGGACCAGGTGCCTGGGACTTCACTCGGCTCCAACTTGGTCGTTTATCCAAAGTTTTGGCTTCAAGAGCTACCGGATTCCCAGGAGGGGCAAAGTTTCATAGATTTCAACTCAACATTCCAATCATTTCCTAACTAACTAGCTGCTCTTATCCTATCGTGCCACAGGATCCAAATGAGCCTTCGGAGCCCCCAATTTCCAATGGAGAGGTGCCATCTTTAGTGCATACCAATCAAAAATTACAGTGTTACAGTTACAATAGTTGTAATTGCCCATGTTATTTCATCAGGTGTGGACAAAGGAAGAAAAGGCCACCCTGCTCGTCACTCAGAAGCTTGACCAGGCCCAACATTTTCACTCTTTCATTTTTCACATCCAAATCATATGGTCCATGCCGCAAACCGGCTACCACGCTCTCATCCCTCTTCTCCAGGTACGAGCGATCCTGAACCGCGACAGCCACGACCATTTGCAGAAACTGTTTGACATCTCGAGTGTGTCCTTGTTAGGGGTTTCAAGGCTGTGTGCTTTGCAAACAGGTCAAGATGTGCCTGTGTGTGACTAATTGGGCTTAACACGTAGAAGCATATCTGGGGGGAAAAAGAATAGAAACCAATTGCATGCTACTGCGTCCCGCTCTTGAATCACAGTTGGAACCAATGACAAGAAAGCAAACACATACCATGATCTGAGACAATGCAAATCCAAACGTCAGTGACTCATTTGCTTGCATCGATTGTTCAAAGCATTTGTTTTGGATCAACGGGCCTCAGCTGCAGACAACCAGCATGAAGAGCCTCGTTGAAAAAATGGATTCCGACCAAATTTTGAGTTTGAATTAAATTATTTTCCATACGTGCTGCATTCCAGTCCACAATGTCCACCATGGCCCTCACCAACAATGAAACTATCTCAGGCCTCCATCAGTTCGAGATGCCATTCGAAGCGCCCTGAAGCATGACACCTCCACAAGGACTGGTTGACAGGATCCTTGTTAGTTTAGAACCATGGGACCAGGATTGGGGGGCCATGTCTAGGAGAACCATGAAGAAGAACATCAAGGCGAAGATGGGAAAGAAAAATGTGGCTCCACGAAGGCTGGGTCAAAACAAGTGTTCCTTGTGGAACAATCACCATGAGTGAGGACCCAAAATCTCAAATTACGTTGCTTCGTGTGTTTTTTTTAGCATGACATTTATCGATTTGTTACTGGCAAATCTTCTGGCATTCTATCTGGCATATTTTCTGGCATTCGATCTGGCATTCTATCTGGCATACCTTCTGGCATTCTACCTGGCATATTTTCTGGCATATCTTCTCTGGCATTCTATCTGGCTTATCTTCTGTCATCCTATCTGGCATTCTACCTGGCATATTTTCTGGCATATCTTCTCTGGCATTCTATCTGGCTTATCTTCTGTCATCCTATCTGGCATTCTATCTGGCAAATCTTCTGGCATCCTATCTGGCAAACATTCTGGCACTTTATCTGGCATACCTTCTGGCATTCTATCTGACATTCTATCTGGCAAATCTTCTGGCATTCTATCTGGCAAACATTCTGGCATTCTATCTGGCATATCTTCTGGCATTCTATCTGGCATTCTATCTGGCAAATCTTCTGGCATATCTTCTGGCATTCTATCTGGCAAATCTTCTGGCATTCTATCTGGCAAACATTCTGGCATTCTATCTGGCATATCTTCTGGCATTCTATCTGGCATATCTTCTGGCATTTTATCTGGCATATCTTCTGGCATTCTATCTGACATGCTATCTGGCGTTCTATCTGGCATATCTTCTGGCATTCTATCTGGCCGTTGAGGTCCAGCGGTGCTCACTGAGCTCGGAAGGTCCCAGGTTGAGGTCCAGCGGTGCTCACTGAGCTCGGAAGGTCCCAGGTTGAGGTCCAGCGGTGCTCACTGAACTCGGCAGGTCCCAGGTTGAGGTCCAGCGGTGCTCACTGAGCTCGGCGGGTCCCAGGTTGAGGCCCAGCGGTGCTCACTGAACTCGGCAGGTCCCAGGTTGAGGTCCAGCAGTGCCCACTGTGTGTGGAAGTTGGTGAAGAGCTTGGCGAAGAGTTGGCAAGGGGGAAGTGGACATGGAAGTGGCAGAAGTGGACCTGGAAGTGGATGCAGAGGTGGTGGAGGAGAATGAGGAGAAGGAGAAGGAGAAGAAGGAGAACAACTGTGATAAAATCTAACAACCCTCACCTGGCAGGTGGGGAAAGAACCATGCCAGAATTTTCTGACTCCCAAACCTTCCTAGTTGCTACAGAGGTTGGGTCTCTGGATCCTATAGGCATTCAGTTGTGGCTGTGTCTCAACCTTGCAAGTTTGCAGGAAGTACTACCCCAAGACCAATGTCCCAGCCGCGACAAGTGATCATCCAAAAGGACCTGCGAACATTGCACAGACCTTCCAATGGGCCGATAAATTCTTGAATCGAATTTTTGGCACGTTTGGGCGTGACCAGGTGATGTCAAAACTAGGCAAGTGGCAATGGGACTGCACTACGGCTTTCAGTGGCGTGGGCTGTGCAGAGACAGCTCAGCCCTCAATCTTACAATGAATTTGGTGCTTAGAATTTAGAGGTTCAATCTCCCATGGCCACTCTCTCGAGGCCTTGATGAGCTTGCAAGCTGCAGTGGATGCCAAAGACGACAAAGGTCCTGACCGAAAACATGTCCGTATTCTCTGGGCTGTTGAAAAGGATCCTGCTTGTCAGAAAGTGCTTGCGAGTACGTATGGATGCTGCTGCTTTGGGGATATTCTTGACCTTGCTAGCGACCTCACTCAGAAAGAGATGTACTGCACAACCCATGAGAAGATGTGTCCATGCACGGTGCCAAAGCGTGCCAGACGAGTCTTTACAGCAAACCATGGTTCTTTCTGTTGTGTTAGTGGTTTAGTAAACATTACTGAAAGTTATTGTAGTTGGAAAAGTGATGAAAAGTGTTTGAACTAATGAAAAATATCCACCGCTTTCCTTAGGAGATCGTGTCCAGGCAGCAGGCAGGGAACTTTCTTCAACTAGCCAAAATTGTTTGCTAATCTCTAGTCCAGCCGTTGCACAATCCTGTCCTCTGCTTCCATTGGCAGGTGCACCCTGCCAGCCATATTCGAAGATGGGCCTGCAGATGGGAGAGAAGGACGAGAAGTACCAGGTGCATGAAGCCTACTACGACCAAGCCCGCTCAAACGCAGAGATTGCTCTGTTAGAGAATGTCACTGAATATGACATCAAAAAGCAAGTTGAAAAGTGTTTGGGGCCAGAATGGGATTGCTATGCAAAGTGCGTAGACCCTCGTTTGTGGGGACTTGGATGTGCCAGACCGAGGGCATATGGGATTGCCTGGAAACGAGATTCAAAATCAATCGATGTGAACTTCCCCTTTGATGCTGTGTTGGACAGCCTATTGGCCAATCCAGTCATGACTGCAACCGACTACTTTTGGATGAAGTTGCCACCATCCAAGCTGTCTGATGCAGAGGAAATTTAGCTGGAATTGGTTAATTTTAACATACCCTTACATACCCTTTAAAAGACCACAAAATTCAAAATCGATGATTGCAGAATAAGTAAACCATCTTCTTCAAGCCTAGGACAGAAACCTCAACGACTACTTGGACACCACCATGTACAAGAGCAACTGGGAGGTGTGTGACTTGAACCAGCTGGTGCGCAACGGGAGGGGGAGATCGGAGTGTGCTGATGGAAGCTTGCCAACGCTGACGACAAACTCATCACGTCTATATGCTAAGGCCACCCAACAATTGAAACTGTGGTTTCATCCTGTTTACTAGGGGTCCATCCAAAATGGTTCCAAATTGGTTCAAGTAAATGTTGACCAAACAAGTAGAGAGAATCCAAAGCCCTGCTAGGTGCATTCCAGATCCCTCCACCCCCTCGAAATGCTGGCGACACAGTGCCTCCCAGTGACGAAGCGGCAGAGCAAGCTCTCCAGGAGCCCAATGTTGGAGGTCTCTGGAACCTGCAACACCAGCTTGGTGCGAATGGCTGGCAATGGGATGTCGGTTCCAACCATGGGAGCTTTCATCCTAGCAGCTGTGTTGGGGCTGAAGTGAGGTTTACAAGATGGATGGAATATCTAATTCACTTGGAACGGCATAGCTTGCTCCATGTTTAATTCGTTTCAATGTAAATTCAATTCAAGCTTGACCCGCGAGCTGGGACATGCAAAGCGTTGTAGCTTTAGGTTCCTCTTGGAATGTCATGCTGGAATCGGAGAATCGTGATGATCGAAATGTATGTGTGTGAAAAAAATCATACATCAAGCAATGCTTTATGATACCAAGCTTTGCCTTACTCCGCAATCTATTGATTTCCCTTCAAATGTTTGAGGGACATTGCGTCCACTAATCTTACATTATTCTTGCAGGCATTTTCATTTGACTGTGCCAACTGTCCTGTGACTCAACCATGGGTAAGCGTGGCACTTCAGCCACACCGCCATCGGCGAAGTCGCAGAGAGTAGGCCTGGCTCATGGCCCGTGGGGTACCAAAGTACATGCTGCAGCTCAGACCCTCAGGTAGATTAGATCAATGTTCTATTCTTGTGTGATGGAGAATAAACCAACCATGATGATGGTTCCTTTCAACTTGAATTGGTCTTACACTAAGGACCTTTGATCCTCTCCAAAATGAACACCCAGTTTCATGGTTGCTTCGGAACGCAAAGCAGGAACTCTACAGTCCTCTTCATGACTGGATGGTTGAAATTGTAGGATCTGAGATCCCAAAGCCCTCAGTTGAGCTCATGCCGGACTGGGTGCACCAAAGTGCAGTCATGTTTGATTTTAATACTCCCATGTTGGAAACAAATGGAGCTAATGTAATTATTATTTGTAAACAAATGGGCCCCTGTCCAGGAGGAGTCTGTGGTGAGGCCCTTCAGCATTCCAATTCTGAGTTTCTTGCCGAAGCTGCCTTCTGATGGGCTACCGATGCTGGGTGATTGGATGGGCACAGCATCATCCATTTGGGCTTTGAAATATGAGGGATGGCGAGAGCCCTTTGAGATCAAGGGTGTGGAAGGTGTGGCAACAGGTGGGGAACCTCTCTCCTATGCTTCCTTAGAGGTAGTCAAAGGATGTGGAAGATTGTCAGTTCTGATGTTTTCGCTCTTCTACACGTACCTCCACCTGAAGAACATGCTCACAGATGAGGAGTTGGAATCCCTGAAGCAGCACCTGGACACTGAGGGATATATGGGGATTTCACAATCTTACAGAATACCTGGGGAGATACTTGGGGGGATACTTGGGTCGTCTTTGGGCAGTCCATGTTTCCAAATTTTTGAAGGTGATGGTGGCACCGCCAGCGTCGTCTTTCCCCTCTTAGGCTATATGAATCTATATATAGCTGCATATCCTATCCCCAATCCAAAGGTGATGGTTTCATTGCCACCATCGCCTCGGCTCTCTTGACTTAGTAGAATATCAACAGGAACTTCAACATTATATCAAGGGAGGTGCTGATTCTAGCATAGTTGGGTTATCTTGCAGCATGCCAAAGGTGATGGTGGCAGTGCCACGGTCGTCTCGCTAAGTTGAGGAATTCAACACGCCCAAAGGTGATGCAAGTATACCCAAATGTCTCCTGGCAGCTTTGGGAACCCATATGGTACCATGTGGTCACCCCTTCTTCTGGGTTTGCTACTTCTTGGTTGGCCTGTTGTTTATTACGGTCTATTCTTTGAAAAATACTTGGGAAAACCCTGCATTGATTGGTGAATAAATCAGAAAATAATATATGAGATGGACCCCTTTTAAACAAACATCTTTAAACACCAGCGGTATGGTACTCATAACCGACAACTCCACTCTCAGGTGGATGATCCCTATGTTCACCGTCCAGTGCGTTTACCTCAAGCAGGACAACCCGCAGGATTATGTTTGGAGGCGAATCCAAAACAGTGACACCCAGTCTGAACGTCAGAAGAAGTCAATTCTGCAAATGTGCATCACCTTTCACTCCCGTGCCCAAGAGCTTGAGAAGGAGGACTAAGTGGGGTGGTATTCAAAATGAAAATAATCAGAATCACGTTAGGAGTTCAATCCCTCATTGGTTATCTAGATGTTTAAGGTATTGGAAACCATGTTGAATTATCCGGCACAGATAGTTGTGTTAAACCATCATGATCACCCTTTTACCATAGTGCCTGCCCTTTCTAGCCCATACAGGAACCGTTGGAGGCTGGCACCATGGTGGGATACCGAAAGGCTTGGGACAGGGCGATTGCGGAATTCAACAACTTCGGCCTTGCCAGGTCCCACTCGAAGGTGAGGATTGACGAGACCACGTCAAGCCTCATGTTTGGCTTCAAGGCAGAGTTGGAAGACAAAAAGGGGCTGGAAACATAATTCAAATAGTTTAATGTAGCCAATTGTTTTATCATATCTTGGGGGAGCAGGGTCCCAACAATACCCTTCCAGGTTGGTGTTTGCGATGAAGCTTGGACACTGATGATGCAACACCTGCATCAGTACAAATTCGAGCAATCAGGCGCATTTACTTACAAACATTGAATTATTCAAAAAATCTATTTGTGTTTATTTGTTCAATATCTAAGTTGGGGGTGGTGATAGTCTGGGAACATGTTACATCTTAACCACAGTGAATGAGACTATGGATTGGTATGATTAGGTTTGTGAAAGCAACAACCTTGTGCAGTCTTCTCGCGGGATACCCTACTTCAGTCGAGATGGTTCCTGAATGAGAAACCGAAGGGTGTGGATGGAATCTGGGCAGACATGTTGACCATGGATGCAGCAAAACAACACATATTCATCCAGCGGGTTCTGTTTCTCTTCGAACTCAACAAGAGATCTGCTGGAAAAGCCCAGTCACTGCGCATGGCCAAACAAGATTGGTCTATGGAATGTGATGTGTCCTGTGTTTGCGGTTATGCACTTGCACAAATGCAGCGGTTCCGTGACACTGACAACAAGGTTGTGTTCACCAATGACTGCATTAAGACCATGATGAACAGGTTCATAGAAGGGTATCTTTCCTCAAATTAAACCATATGCATTTTTCTACCTTTTTAGGTTATAGGAAAGATCCCCCATTGTTTCGGGAATTCGGGTTCACCAGGTCAACAAGTTCCCAGAAAAGGTAACATCATCAATCGTGAAAGGGCCCCCTTTATTGATGTGCCAATTTTCGTTTAGAAGGTCCCTGTCATGCAAAATATGGAAACCAAGAAGTCTTGATCACCTGGAAATCAGTTCCCCAACAAAAAACATATTTTGTTGTCCTTAATAAACTGATCTCCATGTTTTGATCAAAACCCAGCTGAGGGACTTCCATGAGGAGATGAAGCCGCTCCTCGAAACCCAAGATCCTACTTTCAAGCCGGAACATTTGTCAATGTGGAGTGAAAGCCTTCCCTCTGAGCAAACCCAAGCCACACATGGCCACCAACTGGTTTCTTGTGATGAAAAGATCGATGAACTTACGGTGAACCAGTGCCGTTTGCAGTTTGAAGCTGACAGCCTCTCATTGGCACGTGATGCTGCCCAGTTGGCTAGACTATTTGGGGAAGAATCCAAGACTGAGCGTGCCGGCAGGCTTGCGAAAGTCTGCCATCTTCGCCAGGAAAACCAAATAGGCTCCAACCTGGTGCAAAAGCACATGGAGAAAGCTTGCCGGTTTCGATGTGGTTCCATTGGGGATCTCCAAGTTGAATTGGGAAAGGCTATGGGTGGTTGAAAAAAGAAATCCCTTCCATATCAAATACTAACGCTGGTTGAACATTGCGGAGTATAACACCATTCCTTTTGAACAATAACACCAAATAACTCAATTAGAATAAGCACAGCTTTGGAAGCCAAAGGGGTTAAACGATAACCATTGGGAAAAAGGGTTGACTTAAGTGACTTAGTCTTCTGTGATCTTTGTCCCCTGAGTTCACGTCGAAGTTGAAGGAGGACAATGGTGCTTTGATCGTGTGGATTGACTACATGAAATTGGGAAGACTGACAAACCAGGACTTGAATTCGACGGTGGATCTTTGCAAGAAAGCTTTGGCCTCGATGCCCGAAAGGTCATGCTGCTTTGCAATTGCGCCGCAGTTGGTCTCAGAGCGGCGCTCAGGGCTAAGAGCAGAGTGGAGGAAACTTGGGTTCCAACTAACTATAATTTTGGGTTTTCGGTTTCAACCATTAATTAATCGAAAAGGATATATCGATTTTCCCATTACCAATTCATATCATATTGGATTGTATTTTATTGTCCTATGCCCTGGGGATCTTATTGGAATTACCATTCAGAGATAGCAAATATTTCTACTTGCTTAGGGGTTCAATGGTAGCTCTATTGACTGTATCAAATGGGGTCCCTTTCCAAGGCGTGTGGAAGATAAAATGGACGCCAAATCCTTGACCAGTGAGATGGTTCACCTGCGTTATCAAGTGGCGCCAAGCACCAAGAAGGTCAAACTCTCTTACCCTGGATGGTTGGTTTTCTCAAGTGGATGTGAAGATAGCAACATTTGGTCAACTTGCCAGCTCATGGGTGACAGGAGAAGGGTTGAAAGTGGGAGATCCATGGTATTACTTTGTAATAGACCATATCAAAACCCAACATGGTCAAATGATCTAATTTATGGTGGATATGTTCCCATCTTCTATATTGCCCTCATTCGGGGTAATTCGCTTGGAGGAGCACTCGGGAACTTCTCGGTTGGGTGCCAGAGTCCCAGTACACAGTTCCGGCTGAAGCTGGTGCCCTTCCACATGCATCAGAGGGGCTAAGGCCATCTGACCAAAAGACCCAAGCTACAGTTTTAGGGTTCATCCAAATAAGGAATTCCATGTCCAATCTTTGGAAGATCTTGAGTATATATTCTTCATATTCAAAGATTGACCCTATGTTCAAACATGTTCTTTATATTTCCTTTGGGGTCGATTTGACTATTTCCTTTGGGGTATATTTGCCTCTTTAAGCCATCTCCCCATGCAGGTCGCTTAGTGATGTGCAGGAGACTGCCCAACTGTTGGCTGGGGAAAGCATGCCAAACGAACTGATTGCATCAATGCTGATTGGTGCCGATGTGGGACAGGTTGTGGGGTTAGTCAATCTAACTCCATATGAAGGAACCCTGGAGACCAGCATCTTGAAACGAGCCACCTCCGATCCCGGCCATCAGTGGCGATCTTTGTCCCTGAGCACAGACCTGACGGTGTCCCAATTTGCTGAAAAATCTTCAGCACTGCTACTGATGGAGGACATGATGTAATGTTTTGAAATTGATAGGGGGCCCTGAAATATAACCAATGTATTCCATAATGGGGAAGCCTGGTGCTAAAATGGAGCTATCTGGGTCCAAAGAATTAAACACCTGCAGGATTGGAAACTGGGTGGCAAGCTGATGGGAGATGTTCGTCCATATGATCCTACGCCACCACCTTCGGAAAAGTTGGACATCAACAATTTCCCTTTGAAGCTTGCAAAACTGCAGGTTGACATGTCCAAGAAGGGTCTCCAAAAGTACCGTATCACGTTGTCCAATGAGATCAGATCTTCACACCTTTCTGACCCAATCAATGGTGGGAACTGGCGGAATCTTATTTTGGACTTCGACCGGAAGTTTCCAAGTTTGAATTCAGTGTTGGAGCAGCTGTGGCCTTCTTAATATGGTTTTTATTCTTCATTTACCTTGGATATCCTTGGAGAAAGTTCCCATAGAATCACAGTATCTTCCAGAAAGTCCCAATCCATGTCCATACTCAAAAGGTTTCAGTAAATTTTAGTTTAGAAGTATACCTTGTGATATAATATGTTCTTCTAATTCCTCTATTCATTGTTGAACCTGATTTCCTTGTACCTGCCCAGGTTTTGTGACAATGTTCGCCCTGCAGCCGATCCAGAACAATTGGCCCTGGTTGCACCTCCGGAAGAGCCATGCCCAGACCCATGGGCCTCAGAGCCAACAACCCTGGAAGAGGTACTTGAATCTTACCATGTTGAGAACAAGCTTCCTGGGAGGGAACCGGGAACAGCCTTGCTGATCACCAATGCAGTCAACCGAAAAGGTGAATCATCGGAAATGGTTGCCAATCAGAAGTACAAACTCTTCCTTGCACCTCGATTTCTCGATGAAACAAAATGTTAGGGTTCAAGGGATGGGGCCAAAACCTTTTTTGGACATTATGTGAAATATTGGGTTTGGTTCCACACCAAGACCAGAACGAAATCAATCATGACCATTTGCTACAATGCGTAAAGTCTCAACCTTTGAGTTTCTTCATGTTTCAAAACGGCAGCCGCCCTTTCGCACTAGTTGATGTTTCTGAGGTAGCCCACCAGGATGTCACGTTGACCACTGACTGCTTCCAGATCGGCCATGGCAAGTCCACCTTCCTCAAGGGGGAGAGGGTTCAGAAGATGCAAAGGGAAGCGGCTGGTAGTGCAACCACAGGAGGCTTGGGTCCATACCTTCTGGATGATGGAGTCAATATTGAGATCATACCAATTATCATTTGGAACGGTATTTTTTTATGCACAACAGAATTTCCTTAACTATGATCTTGTAGTTACATCATATGGGAGGTGCATTTGCAAAAACCGAAGGATTTTTGTTGCTCAAAGGCAACCTGCTTTCTCGATCCCATTGTTGTTGGGGGTGGACATTTTATGTCTTTGAACACCATGGAGTCTCTGAGTCTTTCCGCCGTGTTGGCCAAGCATGGGTTCAAACAGGACTGGAAGGTTCAAAGATCAAAGTTATGTTGAACTTTTACAAATCATATTTGATCGTATTCGATTAATTACACAACATTTGGGGAATGTAATCTGGGTTATCATCCCTGTTTCCCCGAGGATTTGGACACAATGTTGGAGCGAAGCCCTGATGCTTTGGTTACACCAACAAATCAGGTGGTAGGAAGCTTAGTACTGGCGGTGGATCCAGAAAAATATTAAATTACTTTACCGATTTGTTACTGGCAAATCTTCTGGCATTCTATCTGACATATCTTCTGGCATTCGATCTGGCATTCTATCTGGCATATCTTCTGGCATTCTACCTGGCATATCTTCTGGCATATGTTCTGGCATATCTTCTGGCATTCTATCTGGCATTCTATCTGGCATATCTTCTGGCATCCTATCTGGCATTCTATCTGGCAAATCTTCTGGCATTCTATCTGGCAAACATTCTGGCACTTTATCTGGCATACCTTCTGGCATACTATCTGACATTCTATCTGGCATATCTACTGGCCCTCTATCTGGCATATGTTCTGGCATATCTTCTCGCATTCTATCTGGTATTCTATCTGGCAAATCTTCTGGCATTCTATCTGGCAAACATTCTGGCACTTTATCTGGCATACCATCTGGCATTCTATCTGGCATATCTTCTGGCATTCTATCTGGCATATCTTCTGTCATTTTATCTGGCATATCTTCCGGTGTTCTATCTGACATGCTATCTGGCGTTCTATCTGGCATATCTTCTGACATTCTATCTGGCCGTTGAGGTCCAGCGGTGCTCACTGAGCTCGGAAGGTCCCAGGTTGAGGTCCAGCGGTGCTCACTGAGCTCGGCGGGTCCCAGGTTGAGGTCCAGCGGAGGTCCAGCGGTGCTCACTGAACTCGGCAGGTCCCAGGTTGAGGTCCAGCGGTGCTCACTGAACTCGGCAGGTCCCAGGTTGAGGTCCAGCAGTGCCCACTGCGTGCGGAAGTTGGCGAAGAGCTTGGCGAAGAGTTGGCAAGGCGGAAGTGGACATGGAAGTGACAGAAGTGGACCTGGAAGTGGATGCAGAGGTGGTGGAGGAGAAGGAGGAGAAGGAGTAGAAGGAGAACAACTGTGATGAAATCTAACAACCCTCACCTGGCAGGTGGGGAATGAGTTTGTTAGACCGGGAGACTTTTGATCATTATTCACCATGCACCCCAAACCTTTCGTTGAAGCAAAAGAAAGCTCTTCAAAGTAAGTTCATTCTCGCAATTAAAGATGCCATGGAAATGTCAGAGGGAAAGCCAAAATAAAAAGTATATGGCATTCTTTTTCCCTATTTACTGTCTGCCCAGGTTCCCGGCAGGAGCCCAACTTCGAGCCAGTGTGCACCCAAGACTCAAGCGCCAACAACCAGCTTGCCACTTCGGGCCTCAGGAGATGCAGGATCCAACTCGAAGAAGCTTACACAGGAGAAACGTGAAGAACTACAAGGTCAGGTCAGTGCAGCTATGGCTAGCTTGGGTCAGGAAAAGAAAAATGCTCGCAAAGAAGGAGAAAAAACTACCAGTGCTGCTGCCAGCGCGGCCAAAGCGATCAAAGCTAGTTTGGTCAGTCCTGACCCTGAGAAACCTAAGGGAAAGGCGAAGTCGCGCCCAAAGGCAAAGGCAAAGGCAAAGTCCAAGGGCAAGAGGGCAGAAAAGACCGAAGAGGTAGAAATGGATGAAGGGCTTGAGGAGGCAGGGTCAGGTGATGAAGAGGCTCAGGGTTCTCAGGATGAGGAAGAACCTACAGTAGGTCCGTCAAAGCCAAAGAAGAGGAAGGCAAAGGCTCAGGCCAAGAAGGCACTCAAGAAGGCTGGGGAAATTCATGTGGGAACTGTCAACAACCTGCCAATTTGGGTTCCACCGTTTCCAACAAGAAAATTTTGATGTTTGAAACCAGCTTGCTATCCAAGTATTTAAAGAAGTTGATGTATCCTCCAACTGACACTACTCTTCACACTTTGTGGTTTCTTGCTGCTTTCTTTCCACGCTTTGTCATCCTCACATCCTTGCTCCCCTGAGCCTGCTGCTGTTGCTGGCCGTGCTCGCAAAGCGACGAAGGCTGCAGAGGAAGAGGCCTTGGAGTCGCAAGTCATTCTTTGGTTTCACAAGCGGTTTCCCATGTTTTTGAATCCCAAGTCTAAGACACAAAATTACCTTTAGAATCCTTTAGAGTCCTTTAGATTACCTTTAGGATCCTTTAGGTACCTTTAGGGGAAATGCACATGCTCAAAACCACAATCAGTCCACACAGCCCCTCAATCGTGGGAGGCTGAAGAGGAAAGTGAGAAGCCTTTGGATTCAGAGGAGGAGTTGTCTGGTTCTGGTTCTGACCAGGAGTCTGAGGATCGTGTGGGGAGTGATTCCGAAGCCACTACCTTGCGGCTTGGTCAGGCCCCGAGGGCCAAGGTGAAGGCTGCCCCGAAGAAAAAGAACGCCCGAAAGGCACGTGCTGCTAAGGAACCCAATGAGACTGCCCAGAAGGATTCCCTTCGAACCACCCAGTGGGAAGTGATCCATGAGGCCCAGAAAAGAATCAAGAAGACCAACCCAGAAATGACTCCAAAGGCAGTGCTTAAGCAAGCTCGCGAGGAGTAGTCTGGTTGCAGTTTGAAGGCAAAAAATAGGCTCTCCTTGTCCCCTATTGATCTTTCAACTGGATGACAAAAAATGCATCATCTAGCTCTCCAACCCACATCTGAGGTGGATGAAGCACCCAGCTCGCGTGAACGCGATGAAGAACTTGCCCAAGCATGAGCTGAGCCGTCGACGAATGAAGATGGACTAGATGGACTAGATGGAGGGTCAGGATGACCTTGGGCAATGGCTAGCAATTTAAGTCCATGCGATGTAGCAATGTTCCCCACTGGCTTTTGTTCCTAATTGCAGCCCCAGGGCCTCTCTGGTGAATATACCATCAACTTACTTAAAAACCCAAGGATATTAGGATGTTTTGTACTTTTGAATGAAAGTAAACAATGGTCGTTGTTTCGGAGGAAGGCCCTGGCTAGAGCTGCAGCTGTGTGATGTGGGGTATCTTGACAAGATATCGACGTAGCAAGCATCGTGTTGATTCACACGATTGCGAACAAGGTTTACAATTGGGGGAATCGTGTTGAAAAATTGGGTTGCCATTGCAATCTGACTCTTGAGAGAGAACACATGCATGTTGATGAACATCAAGAGTAAGCATGTCAAGCAATTTCAAAAGTCCCTTCACCTTGTTCTGTATTGATTGAAAAACCATCTTTGCAGGTGATCCCTTCCAATTCGTCATCCCGTGCCGATGGACGACTGATCAGTGCAAAGTCGTCTTGGAAATGCAAAGTGATACCTCTAAGCAATGCACAGATGCAGCCCCTTGCACAATCAGGGATTTGATTCATGAAATGGAAGAAGAGGGTGTCATTGATACCCATTTGCACCACCACACTATGGAGCGACCAGCCGACGTGGAAGCTCCAGGCCCCTGGATGCAAGCCATGTTATTGTAGTGTATAGTCTACAACATGCTATATGAATCTATATGATACATGTAGTATCATGTAGTATAGTATACTCCTCCTATTATATTCAGTACATTTTATGTTATTGCGTTCTCACATGTGTGTGGTCGCCTACTGGGCCACATGACTGGCAAACAATTCTTGACCTCATACTCACCACAAAAAAAAACACTATTTCATTTAGTATACACCTGTGCGCACTTCAGGACAGGATTTCTTCATCATCAAGCCCGACAAAGACCCTGCGATGTTCTCCTATGCACCCGGGATTGGAAACCTCAAGTTCGGCTGCATCGCCAGTGCCTTTACCAAGGAGGCCGGCCAGGGCCAAGTAGAATCATTAATATATCGTAAGAACATTGTCACAATAACCCTTTTCACGTTAGCCTTTTGTTTTGGAAATACCAACGCCCCTTTCTTTCATATGGTCTGTGATGTTTATTAGATCCAGCTGGCTAGGCCCTGGAAGCTAGCCCCACACTGGCGCGAGTTTGGAGGGTGAGCTACATCAAAGCGCAGAAAGATGCTTTGATTGAATCGACCCCATCAAACCAAAATGAACAGTTTTTCCTTCTCCAGAACAATCCCTTGGTATACCTTCATCACCCCCTTGCTCACGATCAGCTCAGCCTAGGAACTGACTCCACGCAACTTGCTCGCACAGCCGGTGTTGGATTCATGGCGACACAGTGTGGCATGAAAAAGTCAGCATTGAAAGATGGATGAATCTATCTATCCCATTTAAATTTCAACTCTCAACCTTGAAAAGGTTTCAAACCCAGTTCCCTTCCTTTTTTGGGTGTCAAACCAGTTTCGATCTAAGGCAAGCCTCTTTATTTCCTGAGATCTGAGCATTCGCTGAAAGCGAATGACGTGTTGAGACTGGTGTGAGTTTGCCGAGCGTGCGACTCTGAAATGGGGTTATGGTATATCACCTGGAATGGTGCGGTCATAGCAGGGTTGTCAAAACCTTCAATATGTTAGAACTGTGATACCTTCATATCATTAAAATCTTTGGGTTTATCCAAAAGATGTGATCCCTGAGATCTGCCCATTCACTGTGTGATTTTGGGGTTTCGAGCTACATCACCAAGTCCAGCAGAGCAGGAAAACATCACAGCTGTGGAGGCCTTGGCTTGTCAAGCGGCGATACAATCAGGATTCCACAACACATATCCCTTAGTTCCCATTAGAATATCTTAAGATTCAATCCCTCGATTATAATGAAATTACCCTCGATTGCAATGAAATTTACTTATATATATATATATACTATATATTTACCATATACACACATACAATATATCATACAATGCAATTCAGAACCCAACATTTCGTTGGACGAATTTCCCATTTCAATGCCCTGAAAAAATGGTCATGGTCAGGCTGAGCCACCGAGCTGATGTGCAGCTCAGCAGCCAGAGTGTCCAGCCCTAAGAAAGCGATCCGTGGGCCGTTGAACGGTGTCAAACATGGAAAGGAGTGGTAAAGAAAACATGGGCAAAATTATGCTTAAACATTCAAGCTATGAATAGATATGGATTTGATTGGGATTTGATATGGATTAGATATGGATGTTGCAAGAAATGTCTAAAGTCAGAGAGCGATGGAGAGAGAAATGGATACTGTTCCCAAATGAAGCTGGGGACTGTGAAGATTGGGTACTGTATACCACGGTTGAAGATATGGTTGCCCAACACAAAGTGAACATGTCAAAGTGGCAACTGCCAATCATTGGTGTGATTTATTATTTATAGTGATTTTCTCGGAAATTTCATCAGTTTTCGATTCATAGCATTTCACTTCCACCCTTTTGTTGTGGTTTCCGGGCATGGAGTGACAGGGTTTCCTGGCCTGGGATGACAGCGTCAGGTGACCATTCATCAGTTGGACGCGGACGTGGGTGATTTGATGTGCCAGTCTGGTCAAGTAGCAACCCAGGCAGGAGATCTGTAAGCTACCTGTCAGGTAATACGGTGGATGGGCCAGCCAAATCCTGCACCAGTTGAAAACGGTGGTAAACATCCCACTATTTATAGGTTTTCAACCATCCTTTTGGTGGTGCAGGATTTCTTCCATCCACAGTATATATCATGTGATGCACCTCGAGGGTGGTTTGAAACTCGATGTGCTGGTGGACTTTTGGCTCCAGCCTGCGACCTGTGGTGCATAACTCAGCTTCGCAAACGTCTTCCGCTTGATCACACAGTCAGCCTACCGCGAGATCAAATCTACCTTGTGAGTTGTGAGAGTCCGGCTACTTTCCCCAGCTACTGGCTCTCAATTGATTATGATTAGTTATGATTAGTTCTTGTACCCCTTCGCTCAAACGCAACCAGCACAACGCTTGGCGACGTCCCGGATCCCCGCGATGTGGCAGTTGCTTGCTGCGCTTGCTGCTCTGCTTCCATTGGGACTGGCTGAAGAGGGATGTGGCCCCGGGCCATATGCCCTGTCCCCACCCTTCGATCAAAAACACTCCGAAGATGTCTGCAAGACTTGTGTATCAGCAAACTGCCGATGGTGTCCATTCAGCCAGAGCTGCGCGCATCCATCCTCCTGGTTCAGCGGTCGTGCCTGATCCGCCATGGCTTGTGGTTGTTTATCGCCATGCTAGATCGTTGTCATAATGGATATCCGCATGTGTGCGGCGTACGTGTATAGAATATACAGGTGCTTAATGCTGAATGGTTAACACACATATATAATCATATATATAGTGTATATGTAGTACATAAAGATATAATGGTTGAACTCATGATGCCGTTTTTGTTTCTGTACACAGTACACAGATGGATTCCATACTTCGAAACATCAGCAATCCAACCCGTCAGCCTTTCAGAAATAAATCCACTGGTTGATCTTGGTTGATCCTAAGATGGTATTTTTGGATGCCTTGTTGTTCAAGAGTTTTTCAAGGTAATACCCCATTGTCAGATATATACATAATATATACCTCCAACTATCTTCCTTAACTATCTTTCCAGTTTTTGTTGTCATGAAAATAGGTTTGGTTTAAGTTTAACATCCCATCAATCCCATAGGATCCATGTATGCTGCTATATATGGTAACATGGATCCCATCAATATACCCCCTTCATGTTAACATATATACCAGCACCATGGATCCTATGGGAATACCCATTAGTCACCCCCATCGTATCCCTCATAGAATTGGATGATGGGAAAATTTTAACCGGAAAGCCCTATATTTGATGGTAAAAACCATGGTTTCCTGTAGATTTTCCTTTAAACCAATCCATTGATATCCCCATTTTGAGGTGATAGCTCCTGCATGAACAAGAACGATTTCAAGCCCGTGGAATCCGGCAACGGCTGCGGTGCGCCACCCACGGAATGGATGACCCTCTTAGAGTCGAACTATGGAACCATGGCGACAAAAACAGGGGAAATCCCCTGGTAAACGTTCACATAACTATGGAAAGATCCACCATTTTTAATGGGAAAACTCACTATTTCTATGGTAAACTGCCACATAACTATGGAAAGATCCACCATTTTTAATGGGAAAACTCACTATTTCTATGGCCATTTTCAATAGCTATGTTAGTTTACCAGAGGGTAAATCCCCTGGGGGGACAGATTTCACAGGAGGATTAGTTGGGATTAGTTTTGCCACCTAAAATGGGTATACAAACTTGAACTGTGGGCCTATCAGAGATACAATGACTGGCTCCGCAGCAACAAATCTAGGAGTCACAGTGTCACCTTAAGGTGATTTTCCATTTCTAAATGCAATCAAAAGTGGGTAATTATTGGCAAAATGTACTTGTACTTTGTGGCCAAACCAAGTCCTGCAGCAGTGCCTTGGAATTGGCCCATCATCTTTTGGTAGGGCCCTATCATTGCAAAGGATACAATCAACGTAAAGTACGTCAAGAGCAATGGTGAGTTGAAGGAAAAAGCGTTGACTTTGCCAGCAAACACCCGGATTTCACCAACAATCATTCATGGCCAGCAAAGCAACAAAGTGTGAATACAATTCAAGATAATTCAACAAGAATCGTAGGATTGCGCGCGATGTGTGCCTAAGAATATCACAACAGAATCCGTCACATGGTTTATTCCTCGTTCTAAAGCGGAACTATGAAATAGATTTGAAATAGTGGATTGGGGGGGTCCATGGGGGTCCCCACTTTGCTGCCTCACCAGATGGTGTGCTGACTTGCTTGGAGGGACCTTGCTCAGGTAACCTCAGAACCACTGCTATTTAGGCTGTAGAATCTCTTCAGCAAAATCTGTGGGATCAGTGCCTCTATGGAGAGTCTGCAGGCTAGGGATTGAGATACATTTATTGATATACCGCCACAACGCTTTGAAGCACCATTGGAAATGGTAATGATATGTAATGATGCCCATCAGGTGGCCCATCAGATCAACCAGAATTGATATCAACAGTCTGACCATAGATCCACCAATTCTGGTTGATATCAGGGCATAGATCCATAGATCATCCACCGGTCCCATACCGGTCCCATACGGACTCCGCGGCTCGGTGGGCATCCGTGGGCCCCAGGAAAGGGCCTGTCTGCCTCGGGTGCCAACGGTGATTTGATGCGCTGTTTGCAGGGCCGTGTGGAAAGATGGCAGATGTGGCCTGATCCTGACCCTCAGAAAAGATGAGGTGTACAAAATCCCACAAGAAAAAAAGCCCCCTAAACAGCTGAAGGAATTTTCAATATTAGGGGGTAATTGATTTGTGTATATGTTCTTTCGCCAGGTACCAAAGGGTAAAGCGTTGTAGAATGTTGTAGAATGTTGCAATGAAATATCGCAAATATATGCAAATATGATGATGGAATTATCAGGGCATTGTGATGATTTATGATGTACCATAGTTGATCGACTAGTCAGATTTCAAGTTCTCAAGGTGCAGGAGTTTCATGTAAATAGGTGAAAGGGCAATGCACTAACACTCCGTTCCCCAAGATGATAAAATAGAATATACATGAATATACAACATCCTGCCAAGTTGCCGTTTTAGCTCGCCTTCAGCTTGACTGCTGATGAGAGAGAGAAACATAATAAACATATATGCATTCAGAAAACCGGGATGTGTTTTTTTGGTGGTGTCTTGGAGGACGGGATTATAGTTGAAACATGTTGAAACCAAGTCCATCCCAATCCATGGCAGAATTGAGGGGAAAATCTGAGGATCCACGCGCCGTCGACTGGGGCGATGGAGAGCTCTCTGACTTCTCTTGCGCCTCTGCACTCATTCGTGAAGCGGTGGTGGCCAGTTTGAGCACTGGGAGCAGCTTTATGAATTTCATGCTCAACAACAGCTTCTTGACAGCAGGCTTTTTGAAGTTTGGTGTAGTTTGGCAATGTTTAGCCTGCTAAGCCGAAACTCATATGTTTGTTCTTTCTTGCTGCGACTTCCAAAATCCAAGGAACCTAATCAATTGATATTGAATGAAGTTGAGAGGTTTGATCATTTGATCAGTGGTTTACCTGTTTAAAGCCGATATTGCTCCATCGGATTCTCGGATCATTCCCAGGTGCAGAGCAGCTTGTCAAAGCACGTGCGTTGTCGGAGGGATGGGAGGCCACGGAGCGGGAGACCAACTTCTGCGCGGTGTACAAACAATTCTTCCCGAAAGAATACTGCGAGGCATCCTGGCTGCGCGACCTTTAAAGATATATGATGGATATGGATGGATATGGGTGGCTAAAAATACGACCATTTGGGTCAATTTTCTGTACGCAGTGGCCAGCAAACCGTGGATAAACCATGGATAATTCGGAATCTTTGAGATGATCTGGGTACTTTCTTCGCCATGGCCATGGCATGCCATGGCCTATTTTTGGAGAACCAAACGTCCAAGGTGAAGACGTATGGGGAGTACGACTTTTCGCAGCTGCGGAAGGCATATTCCTCATACGCAAGTCAAGGAGATGTGGGGATGAGAACAGCGTGGAAATCAATGGATCAGTCCTCAGTCCTCAGTGAATACCATTTGGAACATAAGAAAACCAATGATGAATCGGAGAAAATCATCATTTGACTGGAATTCACCAGAAATATTCACAATTTCTAAGAAAATCCACCATTTAAATCTTTGATTTTGGGTTGAAGATGGACCCGGAATTGACCAAGCGCTTCAGCATCTTCAGCCAAAGCTGCATTGTCCTTTGTGGAAGAAACGATAAGTAAATAATAGTACACTATCCCAAGATAATAAATGATACTGTATAATTAGTATGTTTAAATTATATAAATCACACTATATACACATTACATAAGTATTAATCTCGAGATTCAATGATATTGGTATTACCTGATATTTAATGTCTTCAAGGAGTCTCAGATTTCCAGCGTCAGCCTGTGTGAATTTTGCTCATCGATCTCCAGGAGGGGATGTTCCTTCGGACTATTCCAATGACCTGAAGGACTCGTTGCAAAGGCAGGAGAAGAAAAACATGGTTTTTCCATTGTTTTTCCATGGTTTTTCCCATGAAATCTGGGGCAACCATCAAAAACCTAAGGTTTTTGTTTTTCTTCACATGTTCCCATCGAATCAAAACACGCATATCTCGGGCTCTGCCCATGGCCCATTTAGTTCAAAGATTTGCCTAAGAGGACTAAAAGTTGGTAAATGGTAGAATTTTATGGAGAGGGAATGGTGGTTCCTTCAAATACTCCAAAATCATGCAACATGTGTGATCTGATTTTCAATAGGGAAACAAAGAGTTTACACATGTTTACACGCAAATGTTGTTGATGAGATATGATGAGAATCAACCTTCCCGAAGGTTGGAGCTGTTGTCAGCAACTATGGTGGATCACGTGTTGTCACTTGAAATCCACATGTTGAGTGAGAAAACGAGTTGAATGGCCACGTGTTGTCAGTTTCATTTGGTCTCAGCACATGATCGCTCATGATGTTTCATGATATTGAATGATATTGATACCATCCATGGAACATCACCATTTTTAATAGGTAAACCATCTATATACCATCTATAAATGGGCCATCTATACCATGGCTATGTTAGTCATAACCAGAGGGTATATGTTGATGATGGCACTTTACCAGTGCCGGCGGGTGTTTATCCTGCCTAGGGGGCCTTTGCGACCCTCTGACCTGAAGAAGGAGGCGTTGTTTCTGACGACCTGGGACTTCAAGTACAGTCTACTCATGGGTTTCGAAGAAAAATCCAACCTGGAGAAGATGGTGAGAGGCGACAAGGAAGCTATACCACTGAAGGATCACTTCGGGTTGGCGACTAAAAAATATTGTTTATTTAATTGGTTCTCGGTTATCATATAGATCTATAATGATCTATAGACTATAGAGGATGTTGCTACTAATCCAATCTACAGTAATTCCCTTCTGCCAAGTGAGCCCTGAGGATCATTTGAGATCCAACCCGTATTCGTTGCTGCAAAGGGTCTTCAGCTTGGTTCAGACACTGCCATTTGCTTCAGCTGTACCTTTTATATCGTCCTTTTATGATATTGATTCATTTGATTCTTCATTCTTCATCAGCCGCACTCCTTCCATCATCGCCCATCATTTAGCACAGTTTCTTTAGCTTCAACCACGGAGCATGGTCGGCATTTTTTTCCCAGTCAGCACCCTCCCAGAATTGGTTTAAGGGAAATATGCAGGAACCTCCGATCAATTTAGTGAAGATTTCAACCCAAATAAATTTTGAAGTAAAACCCCGGCAGCGTCCGGATGTTTACAATTCTAAATGTACTTAACATATTTAAAATCATGTTTGTCTTTTCATTTGTTTTTTCCATGATCCAGTCGTCAGTCAGCCAGTCAGGATCAAGATCCTGAAAAAAAAAGATGTCTATGTCCTAGTCTTGGCCAATGAAAACCATGGCCTCGAACGGAAGATTAGCCCTGAGAAGGTGCCGGCCGAGGGGGTGGTGCAGCGCTATGACTTGAAGGGAAAGTCACGGAAGCAGACGCTTGGAGCAGTGAGGAAGGGAGTGATGATAGGAAATGGCTTGGAACTAGACTAGAACATGCCTTGACTCACTATTTCTTTCACTTTCTTTCTAGGTATAGATTGATTTGAATCGATTACATGGGATTATATAAGAACATATATAGGAAAGATCGATTTGAGACTTTAAATTTCTTAGATAAACTAGATAAGACCGATTGGCTAGATAAGATAGATTCATGGATAGATAAAATAGGTATCGACGCAGATGTAATCACACCAAATGTAGTTGGAGGTTGGTGCCATGAAGCTCGGTTGCCAAGGGGGTTGCTATAATATAATGTCCGGATATGTCCAGTGGATCAGTGGGGTGCTTGTTGTATCAGGACCAAGAAGTCCATCAATCCCTACGTTGGGATCAATGGAGACTTTGCCGTGACTTCGATGAATCGAACGCCATGGGTCAAAACAGAAGGGCCCCAGAAGGGGCCACAGATTTTAGTACACGTCTAATATAAACCATCGGATCTTATGGGGGTTTCCAATTTTGACCCATACTCTTTTGTTTGTTGATGTCTTGTGCTTCCTTTTTGTGGTCGGTTACTAAATAAACCAATCGCTGTTTTTGATGGCGTTTTTGTTCACACTCAGGAACAGCAGCAGAATGAGCTGCGCCTGCGAAATTGGCAGTGCAAAAATTTCCTGAAATATTTGCAGCCGGACCTTTCCTGGCTGGAAAGTCACGATCTCACCGAGTACAGCCTTTTCGTAGAGGTGGCAGGTAACTCCGTTGGCTGTTCAGGTTTACCAAAGGTGCCCCTTTGCAACGCTTGTCTGGAGGATACCACCACCCTGGCCACCAGTCTGCAGATATTGCTGGAGATGATTGATGATTGGCAGATTGGAGTTTGCCTGCAAATGGGGTATGCCGATGTATGCCGCTGTATGCTGTATACCCCCAAGAAAATTCAGCATGAGGAAAATATGGGACAATGATCATTGACTTGCAGTTTTTTTCCCTCAAATACAAGCTCCAGGGCAAACAGTTGTTTGCCCGTGGCTCGGCCTAAGATTGGATCGTGAAAAACACAGATGACCAAAGTTGCAGCGTTTGGCACTCTGCTTTGTAGATTTGTTATCTGCAAAATCATATTTTCATATTCATATTCATAATATATATATATATACGTATATATAATAAATTTCACTGCTCATACCCACCCGGCTGTGATGTTCACTTGTCCTCTTGCTTGAGGCCATCGTCGATTACTTTAAGGAAAAGACTTGGACTTCCACATCTCCGAAGAAATTCTCCGCACAGATGATGGAGTTTGCCGGGCAAGTGTGCCTTATAGACAAGAGACTCGGTGTGGTGATGCATTGATTTATGTTGCTTAATACTTAATTATGATTGTGTTTCGTTTGTTTTCAGAGCCTTTGCAACTCCAACAGTGTATATTATATATGCACACCTACAAGATATACATTTATAATCATTTATATACACTCACACACACTCCATAAATAAATAAATAAATAAATATAAATATATATATATATATATTATGCCGCCGACGTATTTTTGAATAAACTGTTTCCTCCGCCTGTATTTTATCCAAGTTGCATAGGCTCCTCATGGCGATACACACTGAGCCACCAGCATCTTCCGCTTCAGTCACCATACATCATCACTGATCACCATTCACAAAAAATCCACTTCAGTCGCGATCCAGGAAGGAGGGCATGGAGTCGTGGCAAGTCTTTCTGATCGTCTTCAGCGTCGCCGTGCTGTTGGTTGGTGGCGCGTTCCTTGGGTGGAAGTACGGCGCCGGCTTCATGCGCTCGGACCGTCCCCATGAGTTGAGGGACGCCCCGCAATCGATGGAGATGACGCAGCAGAATCTGGGCCAACAAGGGACCCAAGGGCCACCAGCTGGATGGAACCAGGGCTGGAACCAGGGCTATCAAGGAGCACCACCTGGCTACTATAATCAGGGTGCACCGCAGAATTTCGCATAGAGGGACTTGGCTGGCATTGCTTCGGGACATTTCGGGACAGATGTTGTTGGGCTGTTGGTGTTCAAAAATTGCATAGAATTGCACTGAAATGGTCCTCAACAGAGAAAGACGAGCAGACTCTTGGGCCCTGTTTAGCTCCACAAATGAGTCAATGCTTTTCACATCTTTTCACTTCCGCTTCAACCAGTTCCATGGTACAGCTGTCCCGTAGCTATGCCCATCCGAGAAGTCCCAACCTCATCGATTGACTGGCCACGGCCACGGCTGGGTTTCCGATGCCAAGCCAAGAACTGGAGTCGATCTCAAATCAGAATGTGTTCTCTTCCCAAATGGTGTAAAAATGAGATCAGTTGGGAAGTAGAATATGTAGAATGTAGAATTGAACATAGTTAAGTGCCCAGCGAAAGATCAAAGTCGTTTTTGCGGCACAGGGGGTTCAGATTGGCCACAACATGTATGGTGCAGCATTGGGCCCACAGCAGCAAAGTCTCACCATGAGCCAATGAGCGAACATGCGTGCTGAAACAATGAATAGAAAAGGGCCATTGATTTGAATCTATTCGGGGGCGCTGATGACGACTGCTTGGATCACATCCTGCAGATTCGCAAGAACAATTCAGTCCAAGCATTTGTCTCAAACTTGTTTTCATTGTTGCCGCTTTTTCTGTCTGGATTTGGTGCAGCCGCCTAGAAGTGTTTGCCTGTATTATATATATATATATATATTATATTATCTTATATATTATATATATATATTATATATATATGTTATATATATATGTTATATATATATATGTTATATATATATATATGTTATATATATATATATGTTATATATATATATATATTATATATATATTATATACAGTATTCACATGTATTCAAGCGATTCTAGTTTGCCAATTCTGATAACAACTGTTCTAAATCTCCCATCGGACTGTGGGCACGTGCCGTTTGTCGTGTCCGCTGTCCGCTGTACGCAGGTCACATGCATCGGCAGCAGTTGCAGTTCCATCCGTTTGCACTGCGCCACTCCACTGGCAGGCCGCTGGCCGGCCGCCTTGCTGTGGCTGTAAAGATTTGATGCTACTACCATGATGGCAAAAATTCCAGGAGTTGAAACACTATGATGGCTTGATGATGATTATTGATGATGATTATCAATTATTATTAATATTATATAATATTATTATATATTATTATTATTACTATTATTATTATTATTACTAGTATTAATGATGGCGAGTAGTGTCTCAGATTTTTTGTCACTTGGAGATCACTTAGTAGCTTTGTCATTCCTTCCACGGCAGGTCGCGTGAGCCTTGACCTTTTGGAACGGCTTTGGTTTCCTAGCGAACTGCATGGGACGGAGGACTTTGATTTGATGAACTTGAACTAGTGCCGGTGCATTCAATTATTGGCATGAACCGCCACACTGGCCGTGTTTAGATTTCAATGGGTAGCGAGCAGAATGACATTTATTTTGAGCGTTTAGCGAGCGTTGAGCGTCGTGTCCAAAAGGACAGTTACTGCCACGGGGATGATGTTGTGGTTGGTGCCAGCCTCAGAAAATTGCGCATGGTTTTCCAGCAAGTGCGCTGAGCCCAACGCCAAAGTCTTCGTTGGTCAGCTGATATCTTGCACTAATTTTTGCACCATCTCAGAAACGAATTACACCCTGTATTAATCTAGAGCTGACAATGACATGGAATGGCTTCACTAAATGCATCACGTGACCTTCAAATGGCTAGTTGGCTCAGGCGTCTACTGTGGTGGAGCGAACTGTATGACCAAAAAGCTTGTGTGTGCTTGGCCCTAAGAACACATGTGGCTCTACTGAGTCGCGTAGAGGGCCAAGCTGTAGAATTTAAAGTTTGATCCTAAGTCGGAAAGATGTGGTGACAAACTGGCTCGCAAGAGACAGCGGAAATGGGGCTATAGGCATCGTGACCCAAACAAGGCATAAAATTGATTAAGATTGTATATTATGGGGATGTTTCGTGAGTCTGTTGTTTCCAAGTCGTTTGTGCCCTATCCACGTTTTGTATTTTTCATACTGTAGATTAGAATCGTGTCTTTGGTCATGGCTTTGCAGTTGAAACAGAGGCATTGACAGAGAGAGAGAGAGAGAGAAAAATTGGGCCCTTGAAATTGGACCCTTTCTGCGGACTTTTGAGGCGACCTACATCGCAGATGACGAGTGTGTCCCCAGCTGTGACATTTTGGGCTTGGAATGCGGCGATGATGGCTGTGGCGGGTCTTGCGGAACCTGCTCCTCAGAGGAAAACCGAGGGATGTTGGCACGGAGATGTAGACCTTGGAAAGAGCGTACATCAATATGGAGAAATATGGAGAAGGAGAGGTGGGTAGACATATGTTATCCATACATATACCATGGTATACCTATATATATATATATATGTATGATATATAATATATGTATGTGTGTGTGTGGGTGTGTGTCACAAAAACATAGGTACCATGCAGATCCATGCAGAAGGGCGCGGCCTAGCTGCACAGGACTCATCCTTGACCCCAATGTGTCGTGGGGATGTCGGCCGTTGCGTCTACTTCGTAGCAGCAGCGACTAGGCAGCCGATGGATCAAAACCATGTTCAAACATGTTTTACCATCTTTCACCGCAGTTGGGGTGATTTATATAATACTTATTGAATCAATTCAAGACCACAATCACAATGATCGGAATTCTTCACTGTGAGGGCTGGTCTACGTTCCATGTTGGACCCATACCCCGCATGGATCCAAAGTGATCGTGGCTACACCTGAGGACTGGGTCAATGAAGACAAGTCCATGACTGCCACGAATCTGGCCGTGGCCTCAGACATGACGTCACTGATGACAGGCTGATGACAGGCTGATACCTGGCTCTGGCCTTTTCTGGACACGCAACGTCCTGGGTCCAGGTCTCAACTGGCATGGGCTGTTCTGACGACTACTGCGGCAATGTCCGGCTGATACAAATGAATGTTTTCGTGGATGCAGCCACTGCAGAGCATCTTGGTGCGGAGCAGTGAGAGGTTGATGGGATCAGGGAGGTTGAGGATGGTTGAGGCCTTCTAAGATCTTCAAAGATCCAGGGATGCTTGTAAAGGATCACCACTCTTGTTTTTGGGTATGTTTTCGGCACACAAGATGGAAAGATAAAGATGGAACTGATGGAGCATGTAAATGTCTTGTTACTTAATTTTACCTTGTTTCAATGGAGAGTGCTGTCCAAGAAGTGTTGGGAGTTCTTTTTGACAGTTTCTTCTTGCATGTAAACATGTGGGAATTTGTTGTGCGCTGAAGTTCTGGAGGAGCTGCAGCAAGGATAGCAAGGAAAGCAAATTTGACGACCTACTGTAATCAAACATGGCTTGCCGGAAAATCCTCCAAAAGCATGGCTGACTTTCCCATTAAGACTTCCAATTGGAGGGGATTTCCCGGCTAGCCACGTTGAAACTAATGAGAAGGAAGCAGTCAGCACACCGTGGCAGCAAAAGTCTACCATTTCGCTCATCCTGGAGCAGATAGAATGATGGAAAATAAGATAAATTACACCATCCACCATCAACAAACCACCTATATATTCATATTTATTCATATAAGTATATATATATAATTTATATATATATATATATAAATTAAAAAAAAAAAAAACAAACATGTATATTATATTCAGTATTGGCAGGGTGTAGTTGGACACCCTTCGTGCATCATTCAGCTGGACATGTCCTGTCCACTCCAGGAAGTCGGACTGGATCTCAGACAACACCGGCCACCGCTGGTTTTGGAACAGCGGGACGGCGGCTTCAGACCAGGCCACACGTTGCGCAGCTTCTGGAAGTAGCTGGATGTAGCTGGATGTAGCTGGTGAAGCTGCAGCCATTTGGAATATGGCTCTCAAAACAGTCATAACAGGTTGAAATATGTTGAAATCTTTGACAGATATGAAAAAAGGGGATTACTATAGAGGGATGATGTGATGCACGAGTTTGATTTTTGCACATTTGTGTAACAAGGATGAGATCATGGTCAATATTGGTCAGCCAGAGTCTTTGCTTGGCATCATGGACACCGGAATTGCCGAATTCTTGGGAAAAGGGAAAAAAAAGGATCCCTTTGGCAATCAAACATGGCTATGGAAAATACATGGTTGATACATGATGTTCGCTTTAGATGTGTGGGATTTTTCATGATTTTCCATATGATGGTTGGTTTGCGGCGGTCCATCAGGCCTCCATCTCACCCATCCAGGCGGCGGATTGCCCCGATGGCATGGCAGTGAGCTATCTGAAGTGCGATGGCAGGCGGGGACCGCTACGATCTGTTGGATATCTGTTGGAATTGTTGGAAATGTGGATATTTGTGTCATCATTTGTCACCAATTCCAGCAGCCATCAGCAGCCATCAGCAAGCCCTCAGCCCGTGACTCACTCGTGAGGCATTGCGACAACTTGCGGCTGCATTGCGGGAAGCCTTTGCAGTGGCAGCTACCTCAGTGCTTTTCACACCTATGCCCATCCATGGCCATCCATAGCAGCGTCCAAATCCTCCAAGGCAGGTGGAAATGACGGAGGATCCGGTAGTGACCGACTGGTTCAGTGAAGAGCAGGGTCGCATGGATTGCCCTGATGGAAAGGTCTGGGCACTCAGGTGATTACTAAAGATGGATCACTAGATGAATGTTGATAAATTAAACATAGTTTGAACAAAAATAAATAGATACCGCAAACTAATGAATATGTGAATATGTAATTGAATAATAAATAAATATATAATATATATATATATATTATATGTATATGATTATATATAATTATATATAATTATATATATATATATATATGTAATTATAAAATATGTATACACAACTGTATATAACACATATATATATACATACAGAGAGAGAGAGAGAAAAAAAAAAAGCAAATAGAGAGAGAGAGAGAGAGAGTGCGCGCATGTGTGTGTGTCTGTGCCTGTGCAATGACTTAGATTTTTTTGTCTCATGATTATTGCTCTTTGGCTCAGGGCGAAACAAAACCACTGGATTTTCCATGGCTTTCCTGTGGAAGCTCAGGTCGTGACCGGGGTCGAGTGCCAGGATGGCAGCAACTCTCAGTGAACACGTGCCCTTTGACAATCGAACCTGGCAACTATTCATGGGAAAGTCGGGGAAACATGACCTAGAATTCTGAATGAACATTTCAATTGTCATGAATTGTCCATTGTCAGGTTCGATTATCAGTATCAGAAGGGTAAGGGGTTCCAAGTGGAGCCCAACAAAGTTGATTGCGAGCATGGTCCTTTTGCTTTGCTGGTTCCAAACTGTTTCAGAACACAGTTCCACATCAATCAATATCAATCAATTTTTCCCAAGAGATCCCAAGTACCGAAGTGTTCTTTTGGTATCTTTGGCTTCAAAATAACAAGGGAAAAGTGCGATTCACGCGAGTCCCCATTGATTCCTGCTGGACAAATCCATCACAAAGCCGACCTCAGCATTGACAGGACTCCAAGAAATGGTGCTTCACGAATTGCCGCAGCTATTGCGACAACAAACGTCTTCGCTGTCGGCCTGGGGCCTTAAGGGGCCTTAAGGGACCTTAAGGGACCTTTGGGACCTTGGGATTCCCCCAGGTAGATGAATTCATAATACTTCAGATAGATAATATAGATATAGTCTCATTATACTTGAAGATCTTGAATAATTAATTCTATAACAATGATGAACCGTTTTTTTTGTGTGTTTTTGTCAAAATCATCTACCTTTGATTTGTATAGGAGCCACTACTGATCCGCCAGCTCCCGCTTCAGGTCGATTAAGCCAGAGATGGCAGGAGCCGCCAGTCCGGGACTCATCATGACAGGATTAACATTTCCCAATGTGCGCTGCCAATGTGCCATTGCTTCAAACACTGGTAATTCAGATTCTATATGATTCTATAATATAGTGGATATTTCCATTCAAAAGTCCTGATCTCCTTTGAACCAAGAATGGGTTGCGGTTACATTTCAACTAGATATGAATAAATAACGATAAAAGAGGGGATTTTGGTATTATGACATATATGACTGCATTTGTAATATCACATAATCTAAGTAGATCACAGTAGTAATGGGGATGTCCTGTGACTATCTAGGACCAGCATCACATCATCACATCTGGTTAATTTACAACGACCTCAGATATCAGGGATGTAAGGGATGGAAGGATGCAGAAACGATCCCGGCAAGGCATTGTCAAACCCACATTAATCAGACTCTGTTGAGTAAAAAGTCATAGGGTCAAACCGCCAAACCCTTGAAAGGATTTGCCCTACTCGCCTTGAGCGCTTTGCTGAAGTCATCAAGAAGACAAAAGAGTGATTATTTTTGAAATAGGGCCATAATGTAACACATTTGGGGTTTAATACACAACAAATCAGAAGGCCATCAGTCATATATAGTCATATGGCATCCATGCATACAGATCATATAGTGGGTATCAACAAAAATGGCATCAAAATGCCTTCCCCCAAACCCCCGGGTTCGTTTGAAAATTGGAGACTCCATGGATCCACAGGTTGATGGGGATCCATTGGGCCCACTGAGCCTGCGGCAGAGTTGCCCTCCGCCGAGCCGGTGCCACCGTCCTCCAGCCCATGGCACCTTGGCATTTGAGCAGGAAAATGAACATGGATAATGGGACAATGGTGGTATGTGGTAAAAAAACACAGAACATGGGATGACAAACGTGTTTGTCAAGCTTCGTCCCCACCTGACTGGTCAAAAACGGTGCAGAACCTACAAAACTGAGTCCCTAAACCACTTGTGAGTCCTGAAACCATTTAAATTGATGATGTAGCGCCATGCGCAATCCACAACAACGTCCACGAACATATGTGAAAGCCTAAAATGAACAGATCCACTCACTACTCAACCAGGGTTTCAGGAAAGTTTCTTAGGGCCTTCTGGGATTCATGGGTCGACTTCCGACACACCACTTTTTTCGGCAGGTTGGATTTCCAGAGCAAACCATAGACAAATATCAAGAGCAACTGGGGCTCGACTCGTCGCCACAACTTTCGGGGTTGTAAGCCTACCTGCTTAGAACCTCGAGTTCGGGTTTCTTTATTTTCTTTATTGATTATGCTTCCATTATACTTCTCCAGTTTTCTCCACTTGTGAATGGTTTCAATCAAGTTTTCTTTTGTTTGAGGGTCTGTTGTTGAGCCGCTCAATGGTCCATGTTGGTTCGGAGGTATGAAGGGGCTGCGGACACTGCCAACAATTTGTGGACTGGACTCAGCGGCGTCTTCCAGGAAGTGGCTTCCCGCGGGTGTTTTTTCGGGGTGCCACTAAGATCCAATGGCTACAGAGCCTATCATTCCCATAGGATCCATGTATGCTATATATGGTAACATTTACCATCAATATACCCCCCAATGTTAGCATATATACCATACATGGATCCTATGGGATTTATCATTATCATCATGTTCCCTTCAAAACTGCCATTTTGAACCATTTTGATTCATTTTGATCCATTTGAAAAGGTGTGTTTCCTTTTCAGACCAAGCCCGGCTTGTTATGGCAACGCTTCCGCGTGTCCCACAGTGCCTGCGGCTGGATTCAGCTCCAGATGTGATGAACCCAGCTGTCATAGGACTCGGTCAGCGATGCGCAGCCCCGCGGCCATCGACCGCTGGTGACAGCCTTGGCGATAAGGCCCGGAGCCTCCGTGGATGCGGACGGGGCTATAATTTGTGGCTAGTTTCATATATCTCAGACCTCCAAGCTATCAGATTTTCTATGATTTTCTTACTTTGTTGGTTCCCCTTTTTAAGAACCACTGAGATGAAGATGGAGATAACCTTGGTGAGAGACAGGGCTTAGGGAGAGAATTCTGGAGTAAAGCACATGCTACCCACGGTTTTAATTAATGTTGGCTCCTGATTAGTATCGGCCCCCCCCCCTATCTAAACAATTTTTGGATCGATCCTCTTTAATTTGATTTTTGGCTGAAGTTCATCCTGTGGACAAACCTTTTGATTTTGATTCCAAGAAGAATGGAGCCAAGTAAAAGAAAAAAGCTTTAGCAAAGGAAAAAGGTAAAAGGAATTGTTGAAAAAAATCACCTCAGACAACAGCTGGACACAATAGAGGATCACCACAACAAACAATTGAGGATCAGAGTTGCTCATGGACTACCCCCTTAAAAAATTGTTTGATTGTTTTTTTAAATGGAGTTTTAATAAGGCATCCTATATTTTGGGAAAATAGACATTTTGAGAATTCCAAAAGAATGGGTCTAAGAAAGTAAAAAAGAGAAAAGTATTAGCAAAGGAACGGAAAAGGAAAGGAGAGAATGATTTTGAACATTTTCACCTCAGACAACAGCTGGACACAATAGAGGACCCCCACAACAAACATACTATTGAGGATCGGGGTTGCTCATGGACTACCCCCTTGAAAAATTGTTTGAGTGCTGTTTTGAAATTGGGTTTTAATAAGGCATCCTTTATAATTAATTAATTATTGCTGATGGGTCATAATTAACCTCAAAAAAATGTTTCTTCAGACAACAGCTGGACACAATAGAGGACCCCCACAACGAACATATTATTTAGGATCAATATTGTTAATGAAAAAACTGAAAAATAATTTAAAAACAAAAAAAACATCAAACAAATTGAAAAACATGAAATAAAAAAACTGATTAAAAAAAAAGAAAAACATGAAAAAAAAATAAAAAAATGAAAACATACAACCAAAAAAACTTTACACAATAGCGACCCCCCCATCATTTCCACAGAGCCTGAATTAGTTTGGAAAAACTTTAGACAGTACTAGTAGCGGATCCTCATACTAATCAGGATCCCACATGAACCTATTTCAATTTGGTTCCTGCTTCATGGAAGGTGGACACCTCATATCCAATGGTGCGGTCTTTTGGCGCTGCCCAGGTTGCTTTACTACTTAAGCTGAGGATCCAAGCGCCGATTGAACCTCGTAGGACTCGTAGGATAGGCGTAGATGTTAGCTGCCTCCTCTCTGCAGCGCTAATCCGCTGCAGTTTTCCCATTCCTTGAGATGGGAGGCGCTACAGATGGGGGTGTCCCTGTGGCCCACTGCCATTGGGCGGGAGAGTCGCAGGAATCCCCATGTTCTTTACAGATAATGACTCAACAGCAGCGGATTCAGAGGCCATGATAGACCAAAATCGGCTAAAATTGAACCTTCTCAAGATCTGAATGACACCCCTGATAAGAGTTTTGGAAGTGGAAATTACATTGAAAGCAAACTCCTTCATTTAGTACACGCATAGCTAAAGCCTGAACGGACGTTTTGCATGATGTCAAAAGCCAAAATGAATTTTGGATATTTTGGCCTGCTGTCTTGGCTGTTTTGCGCTGCGGACTGAGCTTGCTGGGCACTGCTAAAATGTGTTGGCGCTTTTGAATGCTATTGTTTGGTGTTGTCGGAACTTGCCACTTTGCACCCGAGACGGGTCCGTCTCTTCCCTTGGGCCCTTGGGTTATCCTATTCCTCTGCTAGCTCCACGATTTCACATGCGCCACCAAGGCCAGGAACCCAGCTGCATTCCATCGGCGCGCTTCTCAGGTTGGAAAGGTCGAGTCCAGAGGAATTCCAGTGGAAGTGGAAGCAGTATGGGTAGAATATATTAGAATCAGATGGACCATGCTGGACTTGAATTCATTAGCAATCATTAGCAGATCTTATAGACTTATTATAGGTTTATATAGGATCTTGATGGATCTAGGTTCCAAAGTCGAGATGGTAAGGTGGCTGGAGCTGACCCTGATGTGACGGCTCGGCTGGCGAAGAGTCTCCTTGGCCATCCTGGAAGGAAAGCGCGGTTTTTGCAAGGGCCATTGCAGGACTGGTTTGGGGATCGACATCTTACCCTCTGGTTATGTCAAAATAGCTATTGAAAATGGTCATTTATAGTTGATTTTCCCATTAAAAATGGTGATTTTCCATAGCTATGTTAGTTTACCAGAGGGGAAGCTATTTCAATTGGGTATCGACTTACTGGTGCTAAACGTAGGGAATGGATGGGTTGCTGGGGGAATGGGATGATTATTGATAGTTATTGTGGATCATTCCCTCATTCCCTGCTAAGCACCAGTAAGTCGAAATACATTGGCTATGCCCTGGAAATACCTTAATTGGGGATCAACATTGAAAATACCTTTAAAAAAAGACGCTTGAAATACATCGCAACTCATTGAAATGCATTGAAGCAGCAAATTTCGGGAGGATGAACATCCAGTACCAGGGTCTTGACCAAGAGCCATTTCTAAGCTAACTTGGTAGTAGGTAGTTGGAAAATTCAAGAAAAGTGGTGTCTGAGAAAGTGCGTCATGAACAGCATCACTATGAATATTATGAAACATTATGAAACATAGTATTTTTGATTACAGATCTATGATATCTATGCAGCTTTATGTGCACTGCGTGTGGTGAACCTGTAGTAGGCACTAGACTGTGGATACCATGTCTCTGAGCCAAACATTCTGAGAACAGGACTTGAATGACCTGTGGGAAGCCCAGTTTTTGCGCCACGTCTCAATGAGATCACCTCTGCTGTGTTGGATCATGGTCTTCCCGCAGCAACAATGCCCCATGCAGCAGTGACACGGTGACACGGATAGGATTGCTTTTGATTTGTGGGGGTTCTCGGTTGCATACAGGATCAGAGAACTCCGAATGGCGCTGTTTCCGCCGGGTAGAAGTCTCAGTGGGCAAATTTCGACACAAGCTTGGGCAGCCGCTGGGTTGCGTTTTTTTTCCCACTCCCTTCCTTTGGTATTGTGGATGTGTTGCATGGGTAATAATCTTAGTCTTGGGGAATCCTAGTGGGGCCTTGCCAAGCTAAAGTTTTGGGGTTTGGCCAGTTCGTGCTTGCATAGCTTCTTGAACTGTGAGTTAGTAGGCCGTTGAATGTGCTCAGGCAGAGCCAAGGGCAAAGCTGGAAAGACCAACCTTCATCGGACGCGTTCTCAGCCTATTCTTCTCCTAGCCAAGGGAACCAAGTAGTGCAAGCTGTGTCATTTGGCCATGTTTGGCCAATGTACAGGGAAAAGTGGGAAAAAACCGGAGCCAAAGGACAGGTGGAGATGAAGGCTTGTCAACTCCTTGCAGCTATGGGCAGATGGCGCTTGCTTCGCCTATCTGAGGCCAAAGGATGCTACCTTGAGAGCCTGTCTCCTTCTGAATGGCGTAGTTTGGGCCCCGGAGCGGAGTCAGCCAAAACCCACAGATCCGAGTGCTTCCAAGGCCTTCTTGGAGAACGGCTCAGCAGTTTGGCTGGACCCTTGGAGTGGGGCACCATGGTGGTGTAATGATGGCAGCTCAACAACAAAATGATGCAGCACCTGAGGCCTGTGCTGGTGTGTCCCTGCAAGTGCTGGGAGTCTCAGTGCATGGTCGCGGGATGGATGGGTTTTTGTTACCAATGGATGCCCGATGCTAGGATGATCTGTTGATGAACCACCACCTACATCCGATTTTCTTCCACCCTTTCTTTCGCGGTAAGATGAAGATGCTGGTGGGAATTCCGATGGTATGATGATGGTGATACTGTTGGCGATAGTGAGGGTAGTTATGGCCATGGTGATGATTTTTGTGATGCCGAGCATGTTTGGTGGTATTACTATCACACACGGCATCATATATGTTGCGTTTTTTTCCCTTTTGCCAGGTAAGGGTCTTTAGATTTTAACAAAGGTGCCACTTCTCTTCTTCTTCTTCCTCCTCTTCCTCGCCTCCTCCTTTGACAGCTCCGGATGCAGTGGGCCTTGCCTGGACCCGCACATCATATTGCCAGCTCAGGAGGCTGTGGAGTGTGGCTGGACCCTCGAACTCATGCCAGAGAGGATGCCAGACAGAATGCCAGCATATATGCCAGAGAGACTGACAGAAAGATTGCAAGATATATATGTCAAATAGAATGCCAGAATGATTGCCGGAAAGAATGTCAGAATAGATGCCAGAAAGATCCGGAAAGAATGTCAGAAGATGTCAGAATTACTTTAGATGGTATGTCAGAAACTACGTCAGAAACTACATCAGAATGGTGTGCCAGGGCAGGGATCACTCGAAGAAAGTAATTTCAATTGTAAGATTGGCTCCACCAAAGGGCACCACTTGAGCAGTGTTTGAACCCTGCTTGGTTGATGATGAGTTCGGGGATTGTACTAGCCAACATACTGGGGATAATAATAATAATATAATAATAATATCTCGATATCTCATAATCCAGAAGGGGAATCCCGTTCTTCACCAACCAATTGTGAGTTTCTGTTGGCATTTCCACGTCCGGCAACTTGCTGGTCCGGTGCCCGCAGTGGCTTCAGCAGAGTCAGGAATCCCAGCGACCAGCTTCACAATGCCACTGCCATGGACGTTCTATGACATTCTGACATTGACATTGAGAAAGCAGCAGTTTGATGTTGCGGATATGTTTGGGTTGTTTCACCCTGGGCCTGAAGCACCCATGTCAAATTGGGGGTGTTTCCCCCCACCTAAAGTTATCAGTGCAGCCACGAGGCTAGTAGAGTTAGAATGGCAAAAGCAGAGACGCACAATTCAGGGCGAACACTGCAGATATCTCTGAAATTCGCCTCACACCATGGCTGGGCGTCAAGGCGGGAATGGAACATTTCTGGGACATCATTGTCCTCACCAATGCCACTGTCACAGTATGTCACCATCACGGGAAAGGTAATGATGACGATTATCATCACCACCACCACGGCCACAATCACAACCGCAATCAGAAACAGCAGAATGACATGTGTGCGTGTGATTGTGCTCATGATGGTCCTGACAAGGCTATGCTGCTGACATCCCACCCTCAGTGCTTCCAGACGAACAGCTGGCAGCGTGGTTAGAAAAACTGCGACTGAACGGCTGCTTGGATGGTCAAATGACCGATTTTTTTAATGATTTTGACATGATATTTCCAAATCAAATCAAATCAAATCAAATCAAATGTCGTGCCTTTCTGTCTATGTATCAAAGGAATTCAAACGAGGCAAGATAGAATAACCACACTTTTATAGGCTCCTTAAACGCCTTAAAATTTAAACCGCCTTCAAGTAGTGGTGACAGGAGGTTGTTCTATTCTTTTTCTGCATGGCAGCGAGGCTATACTCCGAGAGCACGGGAGTGGTGTCAAAACATGGGAGCTGTGAGTGCCACTCGGTCCACATATGGAGTTGTTGCTCTCCAATGGGATTGGCCATGATTGGCCCAAGGGCAGTGAAGGGGGTCAATAGGATCAAGAATCAAGATGGAGCAAGCACTCCCCTTAATACATCTTAAATCATCTTAATATATATATATATACTTGGGATTCCAGTCCATAGCCAGATGCTAATCATTTAAACTCATTTTTAGATTGATTTTTGGAAGCCATGAAAAACCAGTGAGCCTCAATGTCCCCAAGAATCGGGCGTGCTTTGCCGCCCAAAAAGGTACAAGAGATTCTGGAGAATTGGAAGGACTTTGCAGACCACTGCAGTTTAAAACCCCTGGAGCGAAGACGTGCCATGGCAGCTTCTTCGGGGGGAGCAAGATGTGGTTCAGTGGTTTTTGGGTTTTTGGGTGAGTTTTGTCCCTTTGTTCACTAGATTGGCTTTCCTGCGAAAACTTGCAGGAAAACCCATTGTTTTTATGTGGAAAACCATGGGTTTCCTGTGGATTTCCCCTTCAAGCAATCCAGTGATTTGTGAGCAGAAATATTTTTTTTTGGAGTGAGATGAGTGATGCATTAATTTAGCAGCATGTGCAGGTGGGTGTTGCGGGCAATCACAGCACAAGGAGCCCGGTCGTGAAGTTTGCTGGCTTGTTGATGGCTTGAAGTGTGCCCAACAAATGATGAACCCATGGACAAAGCATCAAACATACTTAACCAAACAACATCAATAGATATTAATAGCATCATTAATCACCATTAATCATCGTTAACCATCATGAACCAACATTAACCATCATTCACCAATATTACTGTAATCATTATTAACCATCATTAACCAACATGTTTGTTGCCCTTCACCCATACCCAGGCGTTGAGAAAGACTCTATTGCTGCTGGCGGTGCAGCTGCGACCACTGCACCGAAAGCCCCGGCAGCCCCGGCAGCCCTAGCACCCGCCACTCAGCGAATAGCATGCCTTGACTAGAGATGCACGATTGGTATACCATAGTACGGCTAACAGATGGCTTTTCAAAATTTTTCCGATGCAGATGCACTTGGGAAATTTATTGGGGATGTGAATATCCAAGCAGATTCGGAGCTGATTTGGCCTTGATATACTGACCTACATGGTCTGATGTGCTTCAGTGCTGAAAAATCTCCTTAATGCGACACCTTGTGTGTGTGTGCACATATATCAATCCAGACCTGACCTGCATTACAAAGACTTGCCAGCCTAATGCTGGCAAGATGTAGTGGAATGATGTGGAAGCTTTCAGCCCACCACAGAATGCAACCCGCAGATAAAACCAAGTTGCTCAAGACAATGCCTGGCTTCCACCTGTGTCATTAATGGCCTTGAACGGTCAAGGGAAACCAGGCATGACAAAAACAGCAGGGACAGGTGAAAAACAACCGTGCTGTTGGAATGCTCTTTGTTCGTAAATCACACATTTTACTGCTCTGCAAAATGCAATCAGTAAACTGAGAGTGTGCTTCCAAACAGTGTCTGTCTTCTGTTTCCATTCCGGCAAGTAAATATAGCTGCGACATAGCTACTCATTTCTAGCGGATTTACCTGTTCAAACAGGTGGATTTTCCACAGCTATGTTAGTACTTGAAAATGCTAGGCCCGGAGGCGAATAAAAAAGTTGGCTGACCAGGCACCTGCCACGAGCTCGGCCTCCAGCAGCAAACCTCCGGATGGTGGCAACACCTTTGGTCCAGAGGAGCAGCCAGGAGGCTAATTGATGTTTATTTAATTCTTTTGTAGAAGAATACATTTTAAATTACAATTGACTATATTAATAGTGTATATGTTGTAAGCTATGTAGATATATCTTTAAGCTATACATATTTTGTGTGTGTTTTCTCTCGTGCGAGTCGTATCACCCATCCGCATGGACTCCAGGACGATCCGCATCGCTACACCATCAAGGAGGAGCTGGGCACCGGTGCGACCGCCACGGTTTGCAGGTCGCTAAAACCGGCTGGGGAACCCCCAGGAAAATCCGACCTACAAATGGTTGATGGATTCCACATGTTGGTTTATCCATGTTTATCCGCAACATGTCTGACATGACATGGCAGGTTTCAAACATCATGATGTAAGACATATTTGCTATATGAAGTTTTATGTCCATATATATATATATATATATAATATATATATATTACCATAATATACCATAATTATTGGTTAATATTCCCCATGAACAAGGTAATATATGGTAATATCCCTATCATATTGTATTATAGCCAATTTTGACCAGTTTAAACTTGGATACTTGGAGACTGAAGCCAGGAAAGTGTTGCTGGCAATCAGGAAATCGTCTATACACGGGGGAAGTCATTCACGAATCATTTGGGGTCAATGAAACATGAGAGGGTTCTTGCACCAGACAAAAGGGGATTCAAGCACTAGCGATCCAAGCAGGGATGTAAGATGATGTAAGTCCAGGCAATGGACAATCTTCAGGAAAGGCCAGCGGCCTTGATATCTACCTTGTGGTCTACACATTGAAGCCGCAAGCACCTACTCATATGGGTAAAGTTCAACGACTTCACCGCCCGCGAGCTCACTGGAATGATGGTTAGTAGGGGTAAGTGTCCCTAGATATCCTTACTTCAAGTGAGAGTACGTTGATAGTTTACCAGGACTTACCCTCTGGTAATTTAACATAGCGAACTGGAAAATCACCATGTTTAATGGGAAAATCCACTATTTCTATGGCCATTTTCAATAGCTATGTTAGTTTACCAGGACTTATGTTTTATAGTATGTTTTATTCAACAGGTACCTATCATAGCATCGGATGCGAAACCGCCGTGCCACAGGTGCACCAAATCAGACGGTACACAGTATGCGGTGTGGAGCCCAGGATCACCAAGAATTTCTACCCCCAATTTGGGGAGGGGATTGATTATTGCTGGGGGTTTACCGGGTTTACCGCATGAATCCCCCTTTTGGACGCCCCAAAATGAACAAATCTATAGGTACTGAACCATACTGAACCATACTGAACCATACTGAACAAGGGTTTCTAGTGGTTTGTCTATTCCTGAGGGGAGGGATCGCGTGGATGTGCCTGCCATAACTGGCTGCCAACCAGGTCAAAAGCATCAACTTAAGCAAACTGCGGCTACAGCCGAACTTTCAGAAAGTTGCTGACAAGCTACATCGGGAGGCCACTGGGCCGGGCTATGATGCTGCCCACTCTGTAGATTGATTTGTCCCACTGCTCCGGCAAACAGATTGATTGGCAGATATGTGTTGATGCATATATTCTCAGTGGTCAGCCAGCAATATAATCCTCCTGATGGATTCACTGTTTTGGATTGCGACCAGCCTGGCACTGTCATGTCTAGCGGAGGTGTCCATTCTCTTCACCCTCCGGCATCCCAGAATCGTTTCCCTTTACGACGTGGTCGAGGGACGCGATCACCTACATTTGGCATCTTGGTCAATCTTGGTCTATCTAATTTTGGGCTTCATTTGTGCGTCAGTTCAAGCACTCACAAAAGATGAAACACTCCAGGCAACTATGCGAGCACGCATCGGTCCCTCAAACTCCTATATGTACATAGATCTTGAATAATTCCCCTTCATTATCTTCATGTTTCGTTATGAACCACCAATATCCATCACTTTCTGACGCTTTTGGTCCCAGGGGGACCTCATGGAGCCCCAAACATGGCAGCCACAGGTCATGGAGTTGGTGGAAGGTGGGGAACTTTTCGACCACATCGTACAGATGGGATCCTTCACCGAGCCCGTGGCGCGCTATGTGCCATGGCTGCCATGGTGGTCCCAGCATGTCACGTTTCCGTGGTTTCGGAAACGGCACCAAATATTTTTTGGGGGTTCCACAAATGAGGCTACCCCAAAATGGATTATATAGTGGAAAATCCTATTAACATCCTATTAAAATGGATGAATATGGATGATTTGGGAGTACCCCCCATTTTAGGCAACCTCCATATGGAAAAGATATGAGAAAATGAGTATCGATGCAAAGTATGAGCCAAAGTGCCCATGGTCAATGGTCAGCTCTTTTCATGGAGATGATTTGAGACGTCCCTAGATTCATGGAACCCTGTGCTGCATGACAATCATCGTCAGAGCAAACCAGCTTCAGCACCATTCAATGGAATGGAACTGAGGTGTTTATCCAGATTGCTGAAGGTTTGAAGTACATTCACTCTCAGGTCGGATTTCGCTGGGGGCTGGGACTTTTGAAATGGCTCGAGGGCGATTGTCCCAAGGAAATCACTGCCGCACAGGACATTGTTTATCGCGATTTGAAGCCCGAGAACATACTTGTGGATCCTGGGCGGATTCGGTGCGGTGTAGCGCTGTGGTGCCTAAAAATGTTGCAGCCTGGAAACCACTGGGGCGCGCTTGGCTACTCAGGACCGGAATCATTCAAAACGAGGTTTGCTGGAGATCAAACTGTCCGACTTTGGACATTCCAAGCTCATCAATGATGGATACAGCACCGCGCTCACCAGGGAATCTTGGATTGCACTGCGGGCTGGTTCGGCTTCGGTGCGACTGGCATCCCTTCCGTCCAGCATGGCCCGTTTTTGAAACACTGAGGTGGGCACCCCGCAGTATTGGGCACCTGAGGCTGGATGATTCTGGTGGAAACTGAGAAGCAGACGTGGGTAGCTGCCTCAAAAAATCAGATTGTTTGCCCAAGAAAAAGGTTGTTTGGAGATTCTGGAATCTTTCGAGTACCTAGCGACCTAGCAGTTAATTTTCAAGCATTTCCCAGGTCACCAGGTCCGAATCCAATGGTAGGAAACGGCTGAAAGCTGGTGACTTCAGATCTTTGTTGATGTTTTATCCATGTTTTATCCATATTTGTGACTCTATGATGATTCACGAATTGACTGAAATAATCTGAGATACCCTCTGGTAATTTAACATAGCTATTGAAAATGACCATTTATAGTGGATTTGTTTATTAAAAATGGTGATTTTCCATAGTTATGATAGTTTACCAGAGGGTAATCTGAAATAATCGATTTTTGGGATGGCTGGCTCAATCATGGGCATCGCAGGTTTCAGATCCTCTGAAAGCAGCACAGGGCTACAACCAACGAGTGGACTTGTGGTCCCTTGGGGTGGTCCCTTTGGCAGCGAAGGAGCTGGATGCCACTACGGAGCCATTAAACCACTATAGGCAATGATTTTAGATAGATGGCTGATGATTGCTGTTGCATCTATGATGTAGAAAATGCCAGGTCTAAAATGACGGAACATGTGCAACAAACGCATCCAGAAGGTCTACAGAGCTGTCATGAGCTGTCCTTTCTGATTTTTTTGGATTGCCAAGGTGTTGTATGTCATGCTGGTGGGTGCCTACCCCTTCGACGGTGTCAGAGAGCCCATGGAAAAGCAGATCCGCCACTTCGGCTATGTCAGATCACTGCAAACACTGGAGAAAGAGGGCCCCCATATATATATAGTGGAAAGAAATAGGTAATATATATATATGGTAATGTGATATGTAAAGACAACCTAAACAATGATTTTGCTGAACTTATGACAACAATAATGACGATAACAATCACAACAGATTAAAAGAATACTTCGTCATAACAAAATAGCGATGATCATAATATACCTTTGTGTGTGTGCATTTTTGGGCACTGACGACTGACGACTAAGGACAAGCCATCGTGACCTTCCCCCCTGATAGGCAGACTCTTGGCATCGGATTCGAAGTTGCAGAAGGGATTTTCTGTAGGAAAAATAAATGTAGGCTTACCACCAAACATGGAGGCTTACCCTTACCAAAACGGGAATTCAAGCTTCAAAAATAATGATGTAACCAATGAATACTGGATATGACTGTGTCTGAAAGTGGGGATTAACTTCAATAAATGGCGATTTAATGTGAACAAGTACAAAGAAATCAAGCATGGAAGTTCTTGGAATTTGGGATGCCGTATTTTCAGACAAATCCCTACAGAGTCAATAGTTGGAGGGTAAGAATGCCATAACTTCCTGTACATACACCCGCTAAAGAACAAGCAAACCATGCATTAATCCTCCAGTAAAATAATCACTGACATGGAAAATCACCCGTTTGAATATGTAAATCGAAGTAAATTGGCCATGGCTTCCATAGCTGTGTCAGTTTACCGGATTTCACCGAAGGTAAACAAAATGGAACACATTCCCATTGAATTAACATTCCCCGAAATGGATGGGGGGAAAATCTGAACGAACGCCACTAATATTTGATGGTAGAAGCCATGCATAATTTTTCCTTTGAGCCAATGCATTGACGATCAAGTTTGGTGATAAAAAATCTAGCTTCAATAACTTCAATCCATATGTTTTTTACTCCATTGACTATCAAGTTTGGTGCTGAAATCCCTATTAGATTTGGTTAAATCCCAGTTGTTGATGGTTAAATCCCATCAAAACTCCCAATCAAATACCACAAAATCATACCCTCAAGTACTAGGTATCTAGAATGGGGGGTGCCTGGGGTACCCAGGGGGGGGTCTAAGATCCCCCCCCCCGATATTAGACCCTTTGGAGGCTCTGATTTTAGACCCTTGGGACCCCTTAGTTATGTGGAATGATGATGATGATGGTGATGATCATATTAAAAACCCTAGTGCCAACCTACCTTGTGCAGATAATTTGTCCAGGCATCACCTTGACCATAACTTCTTTTTAAAAAATCCACAAATTCGGTCTTATTTCGACGACCCCCTTTCTTGTTGCACTATGCAGCTGGTTTATGCTGGTTTCAGGTCCGGGGAGGTGTCCGTTTTCTTGGAGAATGTTTTTTGGTGAAAGGCTTGTTTTGTAGACCGTTTTCTTGGAGAATGCTTTTTGGAGAATGCATCACATAGCACGCTATCACATCAGATCGATCAACATTATATTTCAAAGGAAACATAACATTGATTAGGTGAAAAACCATTGTAGAACCTTATGGGTGGAAAAAGGTATTGTTGATTATCGCCCACCCAAAATACCCAACAATCCCCAGAAGCAGTGGGTTGAACACCACACAAGGTCTAAAATCATGTCCTTCATGATATGCCTGAAAAAATCATTGGTCCAATATGGGGTAAACCATTTAAGAACCTCATAAATTCTATAAATTCCAAAAAACCCTGTAATCAACCAGATTTGCATCACATAGCACGCTATCACATCAGATCGATCAACATTATATTTCAAAGGAAGAATAACATTGACTAGGTGAAAAACCATTGTAGAACCTTATGGGTGGAAAAAGGTATTGTTATTATCACCCACCCAAAATACCCAACAATCCCCAGAAGCAGTGGGTTGAACACCACACAAGGTCTAAAATCATGTCCTTCATGACATGCCTGAAAAAATCATTGGTCCAATATGGGGTAAACCATTTAAGAACCTCATAAATTCTATAAATTCCAAAAAGCCCTGTAATCAACCAGATTTGCATCACATAGCACGCTATCACATCAGATCGATCAACATTATATTTCAAAGGAAGAATAACATTGACTAGGTGAAAAACCATTGTAGAACCTTATGGGTGGAAAAAGGTATTGTTGATTATCACCCACCCAAAATACCCAACAATCCCCAGAAGCAGTGGGTTGAACACCACACAAGGTCTAAAATCATGTCCTTCATGATATGCCTGAAAAAATCATTGGTCCAATATGGGGTAAACCATTTAAGAACCTCATAAATTCTATAAATTCCAAAAAGCCCTGTAATCAACCAGATTTGCATCACATAGCACGCTATCACATCAGATCGATCAACATTATATTTCAAAGGAAAAATAACATTGACTAGGTGAAAAACCATTGTAGAACCTTATGGGTGGAAAAAGGTATTGTTGATTATCACCCACCCAAAATACCCAACAATCCCCAGAAGCAGTGGGTTGAACACCACACAAGGTCTAAAATCATGTCCTTCATGACATGCCTGAAAAAATCATTGGTCCAATATGGGGTAAACCATTTAAGAACCTCATAAATACTATAAATTCCAAAAAGCCCTGTAATCAACCAGATTTGCATCACATAGCACGCTATCACATCACCTCGATCAACATTATATTTCAAAGAAAAATAGATTTGATTAGGTGAAAACCATTCTGCAATGACCATTGTAGAACCTTATGGGTGGAAAAAGGCTTTGGATGGCTTCGGTTTGTATTTTGTGAAGGTAGCATAGGGCTTAAGTGATCTATAGTGATCTCACATATCATCACCGGTTACCATTAATTATGACAAAAAAACATAGGGTTTGAGATATGATTTTAGACCCGTGCACGTGGGTGTCTGAAGGTTTTCTCCTGGCAATTGGTGGTTTTCCACAAGAATACCATCTTAGACCCAGTCCTGGGGGTCTAATATCTAGTCTTCAGGGTGCCTGGGTAGTACTTGATGGTACACAAAATCATCATTTCTTGCTGTGAAATCCAATGGGAAAAGCAACAAATCATCCATCACCAAGGCCAAGTCAGCATGCACAGGACCTGATCCGCGGCTTGATAAAGGCTTGGAGATTTGACGTCCGCGAGCCTCCGCCTCCGGTCATTTATGTTACATTTATCATGGGGAATTATGTGGGATTATATGTGGGACCATATATATGGGATTATATGGGATTATATCTGGGACTAAATGGAATTATAAGAGAGATTAAGAGAGTACGTTTGGATAAATTATATCGACCTCACGTCGCGACCTCACTGGAATGATAGTTATTAGGGTAACTCAACTCCCCGAGATATCCTGATTTCATAGAACTATCATAATTTACCCAGATATCAATAGATATCGTCATTATAGTCTTGGAAAACTTCTAGAAATGAAGGTTAAAACATGGGGAAATCTATTAATGGTTGATTTTCTAGTGCCATGTGAAACTGTCAAAGGGTAAATGGGTTTTAAACAGTGGTTTTCAAGCGGTTGATGATGGTTAAGGTATATTTTGATTTTTTAATGATCGCTAATATGAAATGTATTCATCATTGGGACTCCAAACGAATACATCCAGTAGTACTACGCCCCCGGTTTCATTTGGGCGGCATTTCAGAGGACTATGGGACAATTTTTAACAACCTCCTGCGACTAGAAATATTTATTTGTAATGGTAACTGTTTATAAACAATCCAAAAACTGTCTTTTTGTTGGTGGAATAGTATAGCCCCTTAGAAATGCCCTCCGAACGAAACCGTTTGGGATCTATATGTTCATTTGGGGCCCCAGGTACAGGGGCGTATTTATGTAGTACGATGGGATAACGGTTAACATCCATGTTTGATAGTTAAGTCGTGTGAAGTCTCTGTTGGATCCTGTTGATGCTTATACCATCTTATACCCCAAATAGATTTCCTTTAAAGATCCTATAAAACTTGAGGGAAATGATGGATCTGTTTTCATCCAGTCACAGGTGAGGCCCCAAGATCGGCTTACCCTGGATGCTTGCTTGGGACATGCTTGGATCTCTATGATGGGCGGCAGCCTGTCCAAGATCGCCAAGCTGCTTGGCCATGGCTCATTGGAGAAAATGGGGTGCCCACTGACGAGTTGACACCTAAAATCAATCAGACATCATCCGAAATTCTCCGAGTCTTGGGGGACTGCCCCATTTCTGCGAATTCATTGCAATGTCAGTTGGGAAAATTATTATCAGCATTTATCAGCCATAAGCTTTTGGGGCACCCCAAGTATGAAGACACATCCAGTTGGTGAGACGAGTTTTGGTGCTGGAAAAGTCCGCAGGTTTGAAATGAACATGACTGTGACAGGACTTTTTATGAATATCAAGTCAGAGATAAAGAATGACATTTATCATCATATTTACCCCCATTTTTTCATTTTCAGTAGGAATTGTTGACTTTGCATCTTTTTTTTGGGGGTGCTTCTATATAGGCCCATCATCAGCGGAATTTGGACCCAGGCTCTGCACGGAAAAGGAGCACGCTGCCACAGAGGAGCGATTGCCTTTGCCGGAAGAGCCCTCCAAGGACCGGGCCTGAGGCGGCCTGAATCCAAAAAGGTGGGGTATATGGAAAGATGATGAAAGATGCATGAAATAGAAATCAAACATTTTTCAAAAACAAAAAAACATAGGAATGTACAGTAAATGAGCCATGTCTATCCATTTCTGCAAGCAAAACATCTCGCCTCCAACAACATATGGGCTGTTGAAAGTAGTTGAAGATCCCCGCATAGTCTCCGAGCTCCCTCAAGTTCAACCACGGGGGAATCATGAGAGGAGGCTTTGTGATGAGAAGCTGCATCTCAAACATATTCAAAAATATTGATTCACAATTCACTATTCAGTAAAACGCAACAACATCAACATTAGGTGCCCCATCATCATCCACGATCATCACCATCATCACCATCATAGCCCCCCAAATTGGAAACAAGCCTAAAGGTCACACACGATATCATCCCGAGTTTCATTCCATTTCCTGGAATGGTTGCGGGGAAAATTTTCCGGAACCCCAATATTTGGCTGGTAAATCATGGCTTTCCTGTAGGCTTTCCCTGCACAGGACAAGGTGGAACAACTGCGCCGTGACCTACAGCAGTGGACACGCAAGTTCCGTTGCGCCGCCACTGTGAAGTTCAAACCGGCATGCTTGGGGTGTTTTTTTTGGCTGGTTGCAAAGTGGATTCCTAGATAAATTGCTTTATAAACCCATCCAACTGTAGGATATATCCACCAGAAAAGTAAGAAGAAGACAGTTGGCCTAAGGGCCTATCAGATTAGTAGCTATACCAAATTGGCGATTCGGGGAGCCGTCAATGAGTGAGAAGGAACCTAATTCTTCTTGAGAACTTAGCTGCAGTCCTGTGGTTGATGTTGCGAGAAGGTTGAATGCTCGGCTCTGGGTAGACGGTATTACTGGTAGATCTACTGCCAAAACTGCACAACTACACAAGTCTGCCAAAAGAGAAGTAGTTTGATAAGGCCTAGGTTTGGGGGTCATAAGATGAAATGATGACAGGAGGGATGACATGATGAAATCACATCTAGGATTTCAGAAAGAAAAACGTGAGGGGATTTGTTGGGGTGAGATGTCTCATATTAAAATCATTCAGATCTTGATTGATTGAACAATCGATTACTTTTTCGCATCCCACATCCCCCATTATTTATGATTGGTGCCACGCCCCCCTCAACCCCATTACTTCTCACATGCTCCGTTGTTGGGCATTACCATGCATTACCCCTATAAATCAACATAAGTCAACCATTTGGGAGTATTATATAGCCATTTATAATCCCTATTGACCTCATGATCTCTTGATGCCGCTTGCTACATACCATAGCAGATGTTCCAACACGATGCCGGGACGGCCAGGCATGGTGAGGTTGTGGCGAATATGCAAACCGGTCTTGCAGAGGACTGCCAGTCATCATGGCTGGCAGGAGAATCCCATTGGGAAACTCATATATAATTGAGTAGATTTCCCATAGCTATGTGACATTACCATGACATTACCAAAGGGTTCCAAAGGGTATAGTTTAGTTTAGTTTGTTGTTCATGTTGAGTTGCTGCAGGGGTGTTGGCTGGCGGAGCAACTATACTGCCATACATTGTTTGTATTGTTTTGAGTTTTCAGAACGTGCGCATGTACATTACAGTATATAATGATATTTAATAATCATGAATACATCCCAAGCTTGGTATGATCATTAATCATGAATGCATCCCAAGCTTGGTATCGAGATGATATATGATGATATGGGAATGGATATGATATGGGAAGGAGTCATATCCCATTAATCTGGGTACGGTAAATTATAATCTTTCACTAATCTGAATTAGGGCCATTTGGGGATGATTTCCCTTACTTACCATGATTTCAGATATTTCAGGGTTCGGTCGCAGTGAGGGTCCTTATAATTTACCCAGATGAATGGATCTTAAAAACCTCTGAACTATAGTAAGGTTACCCCAATTAATTAACCAATGTAGTTAATGGATCTTAATATGGCTATGGATCAATACCTATACATACCATTTTTAGGGGAATGAACATCCATTTTAACCCAGCTATTTTGATGTTCACTAGGTACCAGGGTTTTGACCCATCCCCATATAATGGATCTTAATATCCCATTAGGGATTAATATCCTATCCAAAGCTCTGAAATCTGCAGGAAGATCGTGCGAAGGCTCGGCAGGAGCTGCAGGGCATCCTGCAACATCACTTCCAAGGCGAGAAGGGGAAACGTTACGGAGGAATTCATGGGAAATTACCCTCTGGTAATTTAACATAGCTATTGAAAATGGCCCATTTATAGTGGATTTACCCATTGAAAATGGTGATTTTCCATAGCTATGTTAAATTACCAGAGGGTAATGGGACATTAATGTTTTTTTGACACATATTAAATATGGTACAGTTGAATGGATTTGTTCAAGGAAACATTTACAGGAAAACCTCATATTTTCACGGGACAATCTATATGGTTTCCGGTTTAAGACGGGAACCATTAAACCAATCCATTGAAAACATGTATAAAATGATTGATCCAAAAGTTGAGTTTCATCATGTTTCATCCATAAACCACGGATGGAGGTTGAAGTTTTGACCCGCTGTTTACATCGTTGAACCCAACAAAATTGGGATTGAATCATTAAAACATAGTGATTTTTCACGTGATTTGGCCAATGGAGAATGAAACGTATGGGGAACATATTAGGGAAAATGATGATCCACCGGTGGATGGAATGGGCACGTTTTTGTGAAAAACAAAAACGTATGCAACAGCCAAACCAGAGGGTCTAGGGGGGCATGAAATTTTGGAAGGTGGAAGGGATTAACTTGGTAAACCTTGGCTCGCTTAAGTCAAGTCATCGCTTGCTGTTGTGCAATTTTTGCTGCTGTGATTTATCAGCTAGAAATTACATGTTGCAGGGAATCGACGATTAGCCATTGCCATGTTCATGCAAGAAATTGCGGGGAAAAAATGATGAAGAGGGGTAAATTTCAGATCATCCAGCTCTGGATGATAGGTGGATAGCTTCCCATACAGCTTTGTTAGCATCTCTATGTGTCAACTCTGAATCATTTTCGGAAATGCCCTCACCTTTTTCTGGAGGTTTAATATGCTTTATATGAGTTTAATGGGAAAATCATCTTGGCAACCGGGTAACCAGGGTTTTATGTTTGAACCACCTCCATGGCTGCCATGGTTCTCCTCCCATCCAACCGAGAGGTCAAGCTTTGGCATCTTCGAGCAGATGCTTGGTGTAGGATAGACCGCCTGCGTCAGGCCATCGATGGTATGGCGGATGGCGTAAAGAGAAATTCAATGGATTGGTTTAAGGGAAAACAGGAAACCATGGTTTTTACCATTCAATATGGGCATGAATTTATGAATTTTCCCTCACCAATCCATTGAGAAATGGGAAAAAATGGATAAAAATGGAAAAATACAGGGTTGCAGCTTGATGTAATGCTTGTAAAGCAATAGTAAACCATCCCCAAATTTTCCTTTTTTATCGATGCTATGAACCATCAACATATGGCTGGTTTATGGCATTGCTTTATCATTGTGCCTGCATCATGTGGGCTATGGACTGATTCAACTTCAACTATCCTTAACTCCGGCACCGTCAAACTAAGGAGGAGGTCCCAATGCCAAGCTCGCCACTGTCCCCGAAGAGCGAAGCAGGAGCAAGAGCTTCCGTACCTTCAAACACACGTTGAAGGCAGCTGACTCAAACCTTACTGATGCTTAGGGAATGGTGGAATGGGATGACCGTTATATTATAACAATTACTATGGATGATTTCCCCATTCCCATCCATTCCCTGCTAAGCACCAGTAAGAAACTTATTTGAATTGTGTAGCTTGTGGCATTGTCTGGTACCTCTTTTGATGCAAGGACACCATGCAATGTTATGAAATTGTCTGTCTGCGAGAAATCGTTATTTGATTTGCCGACTGCCATCTATGGTTGCATCATCCTGCCGACCTGCAACTCTTGTTTCCAACGAGTTGATTAGTTCAAGTATGGAATCATGAACTGATAAGGCACACACACAATTCAACCAAATATGTGTCCCAAAAATTCCCAAAATGGCTGGAGAGAGGACAATTTTGCATCCAGCCCTTGTTTAATGTTTAATCCCAGTGCCAGCAGTAGTAAGCCAGGTCTCTCCGCAAGACGGGGCGGGCCTGGATTTGGAAGCTGAGAAGGGTGGCATGCGCGTCAAGAAGGCCTTCCGGCAAGGATCCCCTTGGGCCCGAGAGCTTGAGTCTGACATACTCTGACCCCATTAGTTCGTGCCATGGTTAACACTTGGGTAAAACTTCGATTCGCTCACGAAGGATCGGGTAATGAGGGACATCTTGTGGGATATAACTATAATATCTATAATCAGAAGTTGGATGATATACCCATACTTGGGGGATGGTCATCAATCCATGAATAGGGGCTAGTGCACACGTACCCATCATGAAGAATCCCCAGTGATGGTGAGATGGCCATACCCCATGTACCATGTTTTGACTATAGCATGACTACAGCAAATATTTCGCATGAACGATGAAAGGTCATCATCAGCTCATTACGCACCTGGGGTTACACGTGCAGAATCATGTGGGAGCCAAGCCACTCCAACGGTACTCCAACGTGATCAAAAGGACAAGTCCATGATGTCCCAGGCCCAAGATTATCGAGCAGTTTAGTGGGGTTAAGCTTACCCCAACCTCCGTTGGGGTGCAAATATTGTAATGTGGTAAACCCAATAGTAAATGATCCCCAAATCCTCCCAAATGGGTGGTAGCTCTCATCCCTAAATGGTAGGCTTATGGCATTGGGTTTCCCACATCCACCTGTTGACATTGTGAAAGATGCTAGATTATCATTAGTGGATACCTCATTGCTAAGGGCTCATCATTGCGAGATGTCGAAGGGCCCTACCAAAATGGCCTAGCAAATATCCAGACAACCAAAAACACATGGAACAACAGGGTCATATCATGTCATATCCCTTTATCTGTTTTGGCCAGTGCAGCTATGAAGTCCCATTCATTTGTTGAAAGTAAGGACTTTTATAGCACAACCTGGTTAAAACGGGTCGCTAAGTAGCAGCATGGCATCGATTTTGAGTCCATCTCTCAACCACAAATACGACGCAAAATTTGAAAGTCAGGTGGAACATGAAAAGAAAAAGAAAACAAAAGAAAAAAAACATGTTTGAACATTTGCGACATTTGATTCATCATGAGATGGGTTTAATTTCAAAATATAGTGTACCATAGTGTGCCCTTGAATCAACTAAATTAGAATCTACCATAGTTAAACTGACATAAACTGGTGCCATACTGGTGCCTGTTCTCCACGAACCCTTGGGACATCTTGGGAGCCCCTGGGAGCACCATGGACAGGTCTTTGATACGCCTGGGCAGCCTGGGCTATACGTGGGAGACCTCATCACGAAGATCGATGAGGCACCACTTCGAGGAGACTATGATGAGGCCCTGGGGCCCTGGGTGAAACATGGTGAAACACCTCCAGTTACCATGATGGATTCGCTTTTTGACATCCCAAGTAGTGATGTTATGATATGTTATGGGGGTTGGCAGGGTATTTTGGTTGAAATCGTGAGATACATATATATATATAATATATAGAATGTGATGTTGATTTTCAACAATGAAGAATCGCCGCGGTGACCCAGATCATCCGTGTAGTCCTTATTTATATTTATTTATCTACATTTCCCGCACACGATCAGCGAAACGTAGCGGAAAAGATCGGCTGTTCCTTCCCTGCAGGTGGAGAATACCTTTGGGCGCAATTTCCGCGATGGAGTTCTCCTGACCATCAAGAGAGAGTCCTGAACATCCTACAATGATGTTTTTTGCGATGACGCAAGTGGTGCTTGTTCCACATGGTTTTACATGGTTTTACCAGATTCCCTCCCACCAACTAACTCAAATAGACTCCACTAAAGGGGGCTTGGAAGATTATTTTGTTGTCGAGAAGGACGACTGTCAAGGTCTATGCAAGTTGGAGGGGCACTATACGTCTCAAAATGTCTCAAATGCGATTCGACAATATTCAACATGATATTAAACCGTTATTTGTTACCATTTTTTCAAAGATGCCCAAGCCCAGATAATGGGACTGTAGCCATAGCTATGGGGATGATGACTTCACGTTTGCAATCGGCGGGTTTTTCCGACTGAGTCATTGAGTTCTTAATTCTTTTGTCGTGATAAGTGAATGAACAATGAACGATAAATGCGACATATACATGCAATGTGCAGGTATATGCATTATTAAAATGAACCAACCATTGCACGTAGCAGGGCCCATCTTAGGGCCCGCAGGTTGCAGCAAAAATCCAGCCCTGGCCAGCCCTGATTCAGATGGCCTTTATGTTCTTGCAGGATCGTTGGCCATGCATGTTGAGAGGGAGGACACTGGTAAATTCATGCATGACACACATTGAAATCGACGTTGTGTGCATATAGATATAACATGATATAACTATGACTATCAAGATAAATAGATAAATATACATATATATATATTTATATATATATTGGTAAACAAAAGAAACAAATATGAATGAATGCATACTATATTTAGACTAGATAGATAGATAGATAGATAGATAAATATATAGATAGAGATAGATAGAAATAGATAGAGATAGATATAGACAGATAGATAGATAGATAAATAGATAGATAGATAGATAGATGTAGGTAGATATAGATAGATATAGATAGATATAGATAGATATAGATAGATATAGATAGACATAGATGGACATAGATAGATATAGACAGATATAGATAGATAGATAGATAGATAGATATAGATAGATAGATAGATAGATAGAGATATAGATATAGATAGATATAGATAGATATAGATAGATATAGATAGATATAGATAGACATAGATAGATATAGATAGATATGGATAGATATAAATAGATATAGATAGATATAGATAGATATAGATAGATATAGATAGATATAGATAGATATAGATAAATATAGATAGATATAGATAGATATAGATAGATATAGATAGATTTAAATAGATATAGATAGCTGGATTTAGATAGATGGATTTAGATAGATAGATAGATAGATATAGATATAGATATAGATATAGATATAGATAGATATAGATAGATGTAGATATATATAGATATAGATTTAGATAGATATAGATATAGATAGATATAGATAGATAGATAGATACAGATAGACACGGATAGATATAGATAGATATAAATAGATATAGATATAGATACATAGATAGATATAGATTGACATCGATAGATATAGATAGATATAGATATATATATAGATATAGATAAATTCTTAGATAAATAGACAGATAACTAGATAGATATAGGTAGATATAGAAATATATAGATAGACATAGACATAGATAGATGTAGATAGATATAAATAGATATAGATAGACGCAGATAGATATAAATAGATATAGATAGACACAGATAGATATAGGTAGATAGATATAGATCGATATAGATATATAGATAGATAGATAGATATAGATAGATAGATATTTAGATAGATAGATAGATAGATAGATAGATACAGATAGACATGGATAGATATAGATAGATATAGATAGAGATAGATAGATATATAGATAGATATAGATAGAGATAGATAGAGATAGATATAGACAGATAGATAGATAGATAGATAGATATAGATAGATAGATAGATAGATGTAGATAGATATAGATAGATATAGATAGATATAGACAGATATAGATAGATATAGATAGACATAGATGGACATAGATAGATATAGACAGATATAGATAGATAGATAGATAGATAGATAGATACAGATAGACATGGATAGATATAGATAGATATAGATAGATATAGATAGATATAGATAGATATAGATAGATATAGATATATATATATAGATGGATATAGATAGATCTAGAAAGATAGATAGATAGACAATATAGATATAGATATAGATATAGATAGATAGATATAGATAGATATAGATAGATATAGATAGATATAGATAGATATAGATAGATATAGATAGATATAGATAGATATAGATAGATTTAGATAGATATAGATAGCTGGATTTAGATAGATGGATTTAGATAGATAGATAGATAGATAGATAGGTAGATAGACAGATAGATAAATAGCTATATATATATATGTAAATACTACACGCATACGCATGCACGAAGCCATATTTGTGCATTCATATGGCCTGAGATCCAATTCAAGATCCTGATTGAAGCCGTTTGCATCGATCTGCAGGCAATTGTTCATCTACTGTGTATAACAAATATGTCATTCTGATGGATGCCGCGATCTCGATTGGTCACTGGAAACAGTCGCGGGCCTTGCGGGCTGCAGTTCTAGGTGTCCAGTTAGCTACTGTGTACAAGCCCCGCAGAGATTAGACGGCATTAAGGCCGTTTGGTGAATCTGTCGTGAAAACATTGACCGATGCTGCGAATCTTTCGGGAACATTTGATAACGTGTCATTGGCACCAGTGGTTCCAAAGGGCATGTCAGGGCATGTCAGGGCATTGTGGGGTTCCGTTGGGTTCCCCACATACCTCCATAGTTCATTTCTCACCTTTAATTCAGCAACTTGATCAGATTTGATGGTCAGTTCAGCTCTCAATGCAAGATTTGACGGTTTGGCAAATGGTTTCGCTAGAGTTGATGCTTGGTCGTAATTTTGAAGTAAAGTAAGAGTCCGGAGGAGCTGTGAGGACGTTTCACCCCAAAGTGGCAATTTCGATGAACCAATGAAGATTAATTAATGGGTAACCCAATAAACCATCCCCAATAGATGTTTATTGTTGGGTTTACCACCAGTGGATTTCAAGGTACCATGCTTCCAATCAAAACCAGTCGCTTTCAAGCCCTACCATCTCCCTGACTCCAGGTCGCGCTTCGCCCGGAGTCGCCCAGGTTCCATTGGCATTTCCATCTTCACCATCTGAGCCTGCATCTTCATTTTAACACTCATTTGCAGCATCACCATGACAAAATAATTATACCATAATGTCAGACAGTGAAATTTGTTAAAGCCTGTTATAAATGATTTTTGAGGCCTGTTACCCTCTGGTAATTTGTTACATAGCTATTGAAAATGACCATTTATAGTGAGTTTTCCCATTAAAAATGGTGATTGTCCATAGCTATGTTAATTTACCAGAGGGTAGATCCTGTGTTTTTTTTGGTCAAAAGGATAACTATGTCAAGTTCAATATCGTCCAAACCTCAGCTTCCCCATTGGCAAGATGGCACGAACAGCCCCACGATGAGCGTCAATGAAGTAACAAAAGATAATTACAGAAGTTGTTCTTTGCATTAGGCGCGCTCTAAGCAGTAGAAGTAGACCAGAAATATCCAGAAATAGTTGCAGTCTTGCTTAGAAACCCCAAGGCTATTGGCTTTGGGCGGATCATCAGACAGCCATTGTGGCAGGCGCCGAAACCATTTTCGAATCTGTGTTTGCGGTGTGGCTTGGCTTGGGTCAGCACTGGCGAATCGGTGCTGCCGCTCACGGACACGTACAAATTATACTGTGGCGAACGGGGTTCAGAAATTTGGCACCGAAGGTACTGAGCACTTTTTGTTGGAGGGTTCGGGTTGAAGAATTGAGTGATGACCCCCAAATTTTGCATCTCACTTGTGTCAGCCAAGGCGGTGGCCTGACTCTGCCAGGGGCGGGACAAGAGGCAACCAGCATCAACCAGCAGACCGCTGACGATGGTGCACATTGGATGAACAGAGATGTCGAGAAGAAGTGGGGAGAGAGAAAAGGAGGAATGAGGAAAACAAACACGGAGTCATTTGGCGAAGACCAAAGGTATGCCAACACACGCGAAACGTCAACTGCATTTTGCAGCATCAGAACTCACATTTTCCATTGCATCGGCATGCCTGGGTTCTCGCAATCATTCCCCATTTTTAACAGGCGGCAGGCGGGGAACAACACATCTGTTGTCAAAGACTCAGGCATTTGTTCAAAAAGCAGCATGTTGGATTTACGTGATGCAACTATGTTTGATGTTTTAGAAATCCCTGAGAACTTGTTTATCTTTCTTTTTCAGATGCAAGCCCCTTGCGCCATCTGCGACCATTTGAGGTTCCAAAAGCTGCGCCACTTGCAGTCAGGATGGCCAAGAGTGCAGTTCAATGGAAAGTCCCAAGATTCGGGGGCAGTTTATCCTTAGATAATCGATGGTTGGTGTGACCAGCAAGGCCAGACCATTGAGGATGGCGACCTGGTTTGCCAGGCACTTCATGACCTTGGCGATTGATCATTAAACTACTAAGTTACTAACAGTTACTAAGGCACCTGTCAGCATAAACATTCCATTTCCTTGGGCATCCTTGGGTATCCGTGTGCTTATCCTGGATTTATGCAAGGTTATCCTAGGTATTCCTTGGTTATCGTTGATTTTATGCCTGTCGTTCAAAAAATGTCTTCGATTTTCTGCCTTTCCCGAAAATGCGACCCATTTGGTCATTGCAACATATGCCAGGTATGTGGTCAGGGCCAGCATTTGGCAGCTGGCACTGCCTGTAGTGGAGTGCCAGCTGGGTCCATGGCTCAATTTTCAGTACATCTTGGCTGTCCCCCTCGGAAAAGGTGTGTGGAACAAAGGATAGGAGGATTTAAGAGCTGTCATCCTCTTTCAGCGCCCTTTGGCCCCAAGAGATGCCCAATGGCTTTGTACAAAATTGGGGTATACCTCAGACTTCTCTCTCTCTCTCTATATATATATATATATGCATGCGGTATATCATATAATATCCCAATTGTTTAAAGAGGTACAGACGCTGATAATCCGCGTGCGGTGTGCTCCCTTTCAGATCTGTCAGAGCGCTGAGCCGAGGCGGGGCCCCATGTCCTTCAAAAGGCTGCGCAGACGGAGATACCCACCGATACCCAGCGATCAGTTGGAAATAATATATAGATAAATTAGATACATAGATAGATAGATAGATAGATAGGTAGATAGGTAGATAGGTAGATAGGTAGATAGGTAGATAGGTAGATAGGTAGATAGGTAGATAGGTAGATCGGTAGATCGGTAGATCGGTAGATCGGTAGATCGGTAGATAGTATAGATAGGTAGATAGGTATATATAGGTTGTAGCTTTAATATGTAGAATTGTGTATATACTTAGTATATATAGATATGTATATCGTTAGATATATCCTCTTATATATTTCTATATCATCATCTCCTCTATATTACATCTATATAGTTTTTACTTTTAGTATTTAGATAATTTTCTCTTTCGTCTTCGATATTTATCAGTCTCTCTATCTCGTCAGTTCTCTCTTTCTTCTCATATTCTCGCTTAATCTTCTCTACTCCTCTTTTTATCGCTCTCTCCTCTCTATCTCTCTCTTTCTATCTTTCTCCTTTCTAGCTTTATCTCTTTCTATTTTCTCTTTGATCTTTTCTCTGTGCTCATCTTTCTCCCTTTCTATCACTGTTTCTTTATTCTTTCTTTCTCTCTTTCTCTCTTTCTCTCTTTCTCTCTTTCTCTGTTTCTCTCTTTCTCTCTTTCTCTCTTTCTCTCTTTCTCTCTAGGTAGATAGGTAGATAGGTAGATAGGTAGATAGGTAGGTAGATAGATAGATAGATAGTAATTGTATCTCAGATATCTCATCATACACTGAGATCTTCAAGTCTATTTCCTATACGTCATGATTTATTTCTTAAGTGTTTGGATGTGTTTGGGCACTCCTTAAGTCACAGGATTATCTTCCGAAGGTTCAAAGTGAACATTGGCTGGCCCCTCGGTGTCCTGTCAGGGGCCCTCCATCTCCGTGGCTGTGCCCCAGCTGCTATGCTGACTTCGCAACCGTGCGGGGCCCCACCAATTGTTTGTTTTGAACCTGATTGGGATTATCCAACATTATGATATTTATATATATATATGTGATTTTATATGCATGTATATATAATTATATATATATATATATTATATATATATATATTCACATATATACAGGGTTGAACCAATCAACCAGATAAACAAATGGTATTCTGATGCAATCTTTGTTATGCGGCGTGTTCCCCCAAGCAAATCAGCAACCCAGCTAAAAAGAGAGGCTTGACCATGCCTTCCGCTTCAATCCTACAGCAGCTTACTGAAGTGCATCAGAACCAAAGGATCTGATTGGTCTCATGGCAGCTCTAAGGCATGGTGGTCACAAAGACTGTCACAACCAGATTTTCCGCGTCCGGCCGCATCAAGCATCCAGGCAGCCGGGGTTCTCAGTGACTTTTTCGCAATGCGGCATGGGCTATGGTCAGCCCCAGATGGGGTTCTTGGAAGATAGGTTAGCCCCAACTCAATTTATCATTGATTTGGATTGATTTGGCTCATTGCGAAAGGTTCGGTTAGCCCCAACTTAACATTTATCATTGATCGGTTAGCCCCAACTTATTTAGCAAAGTCTGAACCGCTGCTGTGTTTCTAGGGCACGTCTTAGGTCCTCAGGAGGATGCCATGCAGTGCTGCTCAAGTGAAGCTGCCGCGTTCCACGTGACTTCGGCTTGGTTGGTCCATGGGGATGATGAGTTCCAACTGAGATTCACTTTGGATTTAATCAGATTTAAACCATTTGAATCCATTTACTGGTGGTATAATATTGTATCCTCATTCTAATCTACAGAAAAATCTATAGTGTATATATTGTGTATATATATATATACAGTATATACATGGTAATCCGTTTGGCTCGCTGGGTGGCTCAGCATTTGATCGTCCGTTTGGCTCAGGTTCTGGGCGCTTTGCAATGGCGTTTGCGCTGCTGGCAGCCCCCCGCAGTGGTTGTCCAAGCAGGCGACTCGCGCCGTCGAACTAAGATGAACAAAGGAGCTGAAGTACCAGGGATCCAGGAAGGGGCCTGAAACGATAGGTGTGTTGGTTTAACACTATGCTAAGTGTGGGATTTTTGGTGGGTATGTATTAATATAATGTATATCTCTGTCTTTCTTTCAACAGAGATTAATTGAGGGCCCATGTTCCGATTTGAGGATTAAATTTGAAACAGCACCTTTGGATAGCACTGAGTGATTTTCAGCCAAAGGATCCCCAGAAGAGCTGTCAACATGTGAGCAGCAATGAAGTTGTGACCCCAACATTGGTTGTCCCAACCGGCCGTCACAGACCACAGACGCCCATTTTCATGCTGTTTATTTGTGGTATGTAAGCTTCAATATATCATGTTTTCACATATTCGTAACATGTTTTATATACTAAAAAAAAATCCCTTGCCATTTTGCTCCTACATGCTCCTACTAGACCCGCGATTTTGCCGATCTTGGACCGCTAGGTTTGGAGGCAGCTGTGCCGTTTCGTCAAGGCAGCAGAAGGGCGTTTTGCATTTGCTTCCAGCATTGTCCTGAAGTGATGCAAAACAGACACACACACAGACAGACAGACACACGCATATATATATATATATAATGTATATATATATATTAAATCATGTCATTGACATATCGACATGTGATTTAGCAGACATGTGATTTAGCAGAGCACCCTTACGTGATTCATGGTTACTGGAGACGATCCCCACAGGTGGTTGCTTGACATTTCCATATGGTTTCCATTTTGGCGAGGTCGAATTTTTGATTAGGACACCTCAATGTCAGTATCCCAAAATCAGGGGGCACAGGTGATCAGTGATTTATCCGGCAGACTTCATGAGCTGCGCTTGTCCACTGCTCAGCAAGATGCGCGGGCCTCAGCTTCCAGCGTTTGGCCGCTGCGCCATCCAAGGCCTGAACTTGTCTCACGAGCCCTGGCCCCAGGTGAAAACAGATTGGTGTTTTGCCATTGTTAACATAAAAATGCTGCATGTAGCTGGCAAGTGGGTCTTCCACACATGTTCATGTTTGATATCATGGATTTCAACCTTTGCCTATCCTTTGGCCTTTGCCCATTTGCTGGCCCTTTGGCCGCAGGTCTTTCGAGTACTACCCTGGAGTTCTAGCCTGAAAATGTTTTGTGAAGGTATGAAATTACTTGGATTGAAAACTTGCACCGCTTGCACCTGGATTGTCTCGCTACCGAGGTCGGAGATACAGAGCTGGTTATCAGGCATTGCTGTCAGCGGATCTGGCCACTGTGGCATGGAATCTGGTGTGTTTTGCACAATGGGGTATGGCTCAAAATTATGAACACACCAACCAGTTTGAGATGGCTTTTGAAAAAGTATGAAAAAGTCAAAAAATGGTTGAATCATAGTGGCGATGGAGAGAGATAGAGAGGGAGTTGAATGAGTTGAATACCAAGAGATACTGATTTCGGGGGGAGTCCAAGAGATACTGATTTCGGGGGGAGTCCCCAGTGATTTCACGAGGCCGCTCCCGGCTTGCCCGGCTTGGCTGAAGCTTTGCGAGCAGAAGCGGTTTTGGAGCCCAGCTTCGACCTCGGGGATGGACGTGGTTTGAAGATCCCCAACTGAGGAGTATCATCTTCAAACGCGGAAGGCTCCGCATGGGTGTTGCTGTGTGTTGCTGTCCACTGGATGTTTGATGTCCATGGTAGCGAAACACATATAGAAAGACCATCTTTCTCCGGTCGGTTCATAGTTATCCCATGTTATCCCTATTGTGCATAGACATAGTCCGTAACCCAACTCGCATAACCTCTAAACAAATAGTCAATCAACAGTCTTCATGAAATTTCAAAAAAGCCCGGGGCCCGGTCAAATTGGCGATGTGGCAGACATCGTTGGCTTCAGGGCAACGACAGCGCCGCTGCAGAGCTGCTCAATTTCCTGGAACGTCTGGACTTGGAGGATGGGGCCAGCCATGGAGGGTCAAATTCTTGCGTCTCGCGTTTGTCTGAATATGAGATATCCCAGGAACGTTTGGCAATTTCCGTGTGGAACATAATTAAATAATTAAACATCATAAATGAGTGGATTATAGTGGATTTACGGGTCTTCCCCTCCCTAAATCTTCAGAGAAACCAATTTTTGCCAACTCCACACATCTCCACACATCTCTGCGCTCTCCGTCAAGGGTGCTGGGCCTTTCTCTGCCACCGCTGTGGGCAGTGGCACGGCTGAGGCCGGTGTATGTTAGCTTTCTGAGTGTGGTAACTCCATGTAACTCCAAAGGCCATCCCAGTAAAACCATAAGTAGACAGGAAAAACAAATCGGAAATAGATGGAAATAGTATGTTTATTTTTTGAGTTTGCCACATTACGAGTGATATGTTTACATGTTTTGACATGGCATCCGAGATTGGCCATGGATTTCTTTGTGCTGGTTCTGTAGAGCAACTCGTCGAGCGGTTTCAATACTGATCCGGGTCCGGTTACCAGTATTGAACTCTGCCGCAATGTGTCTAATTACAGTATATATATATATATATGTATAGACAGTATTAACCCATATTAACCCCAAAAGGATAGAGAAACATGAAAAAAAACAGAAGACAGTTCCGCTACATAGTGACAGATAGTGACAAATAGTGACTTAAATAGTGACTTAAATGACTTTGTCAGTTGGGGTTGCATGATCAGATGTAGAACACATCTTCCAATGGGAACAGCATGGTGAACACCAGGCCGGCCGGGGCCGGGACGCGGTGACCATTGCCACGGCCCATGCTTCCAAAGGACGGCAATGGCCTGGCTTCCCAGCTGTTGGGGCTTGCCATAGTTCCTGCTGTTTATGAATGTTGTTGGGGATATCTAAGATATCTATGTAAATAAATATATATATATATATATTATATACATACACAAATATATTTATGTATTTATTTATGGGTGAGCCAGTGCTCAACTAGCAGAGCTTTTCTTTCACAGATGCTCCCGTGCTTTAATTTTGCTGGGAATCAGTCCCAAAGCTGGCATCATTTACTTCGCATAAGAATAAGTGGTAGCGAAGTCCACCCCCCATTGGTGTGCGGAAAATCCATGAACATCCACTAACATCACAAGTTTCAACCCAGGAAATGCATGGAAAAACTGGAACTAATTGACACTGGGCATATTGGGCTCATCATGCCATCACCCCAGCCATGGTTGTGATGGCCTAGGCAACACGTCCTGGTGTGCTCTCAAAGACGGGCTGGGGGTCGTTGCTGCCCTCACAATCCCCTCACATAGGTTAGTTCAGAATGGTTTATACCACAACATGGATCAACATGGCCATTTTCGTGGGAAACATAGTTAGATGATGCTAGATCATGATAAACCAATTGGTTTTCGGGTACACGATTGTACACGGATTTCGGACAAGAACACCTTGCATTTGGGCAGTGGTTCACGGTTTGAGATGTTTTCCACTCTTTGATCCTATTCCGAAGTGCTAAAGTTGTTGCGTTTTGATTGTTTTGGTTTTGTACCATGCTGTTTTGCATCGTGGTGGCGCGGTGTGCCATGGGACTGGGGCTGTGCTTCCCACCCATCTGAAATGACCCTCTGGCTTGCATCCAGTCCTCCTGATTTTTCGCCAGTTTTCTCGCACAAAGCCACCGAAGAATAAGTCTTAAATGTGGAAAAGAGATGTAAAACAGACAAGTTCAGAATTGCAAGATAGTCAGATATTTAATAACTGCAGAATAAGAATATATACTATAGCGCTAGTATGAATAGCCTCAGACCCGTCAAAGCTCCAACCCTAAAGCCTAAAATCCTAAAACATCCTAGGTACAATGAAGAAACAGAGACAGTACACACGGTGTTTCCTGGGACGATTTGACGAGATCTGCCATCCAATGTGTAGCATCCACTTCAGGTCACCCGCTTCAATGATGGCCTTGGCTTTCCCTTTCAAGGCGCCTGTAGCTGCCTCGTTTCTCTGTCTGTGGCCATTGTTGTGTTGAACATAATTCCATTATCCATGGCCTTTTTTCCTCCACTCAAAAAGTGTTTCTAAGTGTGTGGCGGGGTGGCCTTCGCAAGCAAGCCCCGTCAATCATTCACTCACGACTTCACAAAGGCCAAGCAGGGTTTTGAACTGTTGTTGGATGTTGGAAGTGGTGGAGTTCGGCAACCTGGTTTCAACGGTGCTCTACTTCTACGAGGCTCATCTTCGCGATGATTGGACTTCCGACAGCTGGCGGTGTTTTCATGCCAAACCTTTGGGCGCCGTTGTGCCATTCGTTGCTGCAGCAGTGGATGGTGTTTGCGAATGTTTGCGACCACTTCATCTTGGACCACCCCTCCAAAGATTTGGCTGGTGTTCGCATAGCAGAGATCACGTCCACCGCGGTAGCTAGACTGTTGGCCGAGCTTAGTTTGTGATGTCATCACAGGGCCTGGTTTGCACGCGGCATGCTGGCCTTTTGCCGGGATAACTGCCCAGCCGCGTATCCTGAAATTGCCAGTTTTTTTTTTTTTTGTTTGGCTGATGTCAACGCTGCTTGCAGAAGGATTTGCACTTCACCAGAAGAGCTTCTATGTCTACGAAGTTGCCTTGAGGAAGAATCCCAGAGGCATCTAGAGAATGCTAAAGTCCATCAAAGTCCAACTTGTTTTGTTATCCAGGTGCTTGTGCGGTGGGCACATTTTGGGAAGAGCTTGCCCTCCCAATCATGTGCAAGCAGTTGACGCCTGGGGTGAAAAACTGAAGAACCTGCATTGATTTCACGATCAACATCATGCGCTTGGCATGATGTGCAAAGTGCACGAGGGTGGTGCCGAAGTCAATGCGGGTTATATCATTATGATATAGCATCAGTGGTGAATAATATATATTGGTACTCCTCGCCCTTGAGATTGGGGGGCTGAGAACAATCGCTGGATGATGCTTGCTTTGTAGAGGCTTCACAATTGAGAAGGCAGGATTTCTTGAAGCCCATCCGGACTACAGCCATGCTACTTGTGAAGTTCTTCTGCGG